AATGATTTATCTTTATAGATGTGCATAGACTAAGAGGGACTTAATAAGATCATTATCAAGAATAGGTACCTTTTAACTCTGATTTTAAGACATCTTGACTAAAATAATCAAATAAATATTTATACAAAAATACAAAAAGCATACTTGGTATGCATGAAAAAAATGAATGAAAAACTATATTTCAAATTAAATATATATATTTTGAATATAATATCATATTTTTTTGATTCATAAATATATTAACTATTTTTCAATCTCTATTAAATGATTTTTTTCATGGATTTTTTGATGACTTTATTATCTATTATTTAGATAATATTTTAATCTACTCTAAAAATATTGATGAATATGAATTTTATATTTGTCATATATTACAAAAATTAAGAGATATAAAGATTATATGCCAAGATGGAAAGTGTCTATTTCACATATTCTAAATTGGTACCAAGTCTATTGAAGCATGTTTTTATCAAGATGTAATTTTAAGATCACTTATTGATCCAAAAAACAACAAAATTTGTGAGATGTTCTTTTTAGATATTCTTAACTTGCATCAAAATGAAGAGATGCAACTATTGATTAAGAACAAATGTTTTTCTTTAAAGTAGAGTATTTTTATCTTTGAGTCATGAAATCAATGTTGACTATTGATTAAACTTTTCTCAAGCAAGTTCATTCAAAAATATCCTTTGATCATTTTATTTATAATATTAAGAATAATTTTTCTAAGTCTCATGATACTTCTAAGTTCAAGTTGAAGAATAATCTACTCTATTTTTAGAGATGATTATACATTCTAAAATGTAAAACTAAATTATATGTTCTTTAATCTCATCACAACTTTTTAGCAATTGGACATTTTAGATACAACAAGACTTTGGAGCTAATATCTAAAAATTTTTGGTGGCGTCAAATGAGGAAGGTAAATAAAGACTTTATACAATCATGTGATATTTGCTTAAGATAAAAAAAACTCCTTGTCATTGATCTTATGAACTTCTTCTTATTGATCCTATTCTACAACAACAATGGTCTTTTCTTTTTATGGATTTTATCATAGATCTTTCAATCTCAAATTTGTATGATCTCATATTCGTAATAGTAGATTGTTTTATCAAGATAGTATATTTTATACCATGTACAAAATCTATCATAAGTGAAGAAATGGCTAAAATTTTTCTAGACAACTTCTATTACTATCATGGATTGTTCAAGGATATTATATTAGATAGTAAAATTTAATTTATATTAAGATTTTAAAGAATCTTTTTTAAGATTCTAAAAGTGGATATAAATTTTTCTTTGGCTTTTCATTCTCAAATTAATGGAGAGAAAAAGCTTATAAACTAAGTTTTGGAGTTGTATTTAAGATATACCATCAACTACCAATAAAATAATAAAATAATTCTTTTATTATTGGTAAAATTTGCTATAATAATACGATATATTTTTCTTCACAATAAATAATTTTTTTTATTAATTATGATTATCATCCATGATTTGATGCTTCTTTAAATAGATGACAAGATACAATATGTTTTATGTCATGACCTTGGAAGAAACTTTCAATGTTTGAGGATTTTATTGGAAGTGAGAATGACTCTTAATGGTGTTACAAATGTTTTATTTGAAAGAAATTATAAAGGTTTGAATAATGATTAAATAATAGGATAGTCTTCTTGCTCTGAAATGAAATATTATTAGTGGCTAAGAGGATGTATCAACTACCTTCAAAAGGATGAATGATCAAAGTATGTGTCAAATATAATTTTGCTCCATCATAGATTTTCTCAACATATGATTATTGTTCTTCATGGAACTTCTTTCTAAAAAAAGAGATAATATCATAGATATATCTATAGTTATTTAGAAAATATGAATTGATAGAAATATATAAAAATAATTTAATTTTAAAATATCTTTTGGAGACGGTTTTTAGAAGCTTCATAAATGTGGTTTCAACTTTATACATGTCTATAAGTGATTGATAGATTAGAAACTTGGCCAACAAGTTAATCACATGTCATATATATATATATATATATATATAGTGACAAGATTGAAGCCTTTTTTATTCTTATCAACTCTTTTTTTGCTTTTAATTTAATTTCAAGAGTCTCTAGTTTTCTAGCCTTTTAGAAATAGCCATTCTTATTTTTTATTAAATATTTTTATTTTTTATTTTTTATTTATCATTTCTTTTTTATTTATTTTTATTTATTTACATATCTTTTTTGAATCTTTATTTTTGGTATAAATAGAAGTAAGTAGAAGTATATAAATTTGATAATATTTTATATAGAAGCATCTTAAAAGATTTATTGATATAGATGATATTTTTTTTATGTATTTGTGGATATTAGATAAGTTTAAACTTTGTCAAGAAATTAGCAATGTGTGACATATATTGGCAACTCTAGGTACAAATAGGCCAAGTTGTGCACATGTACAAAAATTATCTTGTAAATTAAACATGTATGAAAGGTCTTATAGAATATCACCACATAACTTTTAATTAAATAGTATATATGGAAGTAAGATGATGCCTTCTTCACTATAGCCCATATCTTTTTTATTCTTAGTCTTATTTCAAGAATGTCTAATCTTATTTTCTTTAGTAATAGGCATTTTAATTCTAATATTGTTCTATCTTTGAGTGAATACCTACTCTTGTCCTATAATACAAGAGTATATTGAAGTTTTTAGTATTTGTAATTCATGTCCTTGACAAAATGATTCAATTACAAATTCTCTATTACTTATCTTTAAATATAATCAAACCACTTTAAACTAGGACTTTTTTTGAAATACCTAATTTACCTTATTCTAAGGTTGCATCCAAATTTTATTTTAGGTAAACTATAAATGGATCAAATTCATCTACAAAGCTATTTAAAATCATCCATCCAAGTAAAATTTGACAAATCCTCTTAAATTATTTGAAGAGCAAAATACTCTCAAGCAAGGAATTTGTAAAACATTATCAATACTTGCCTCTCTAATTGTGCAAAGAAAAACCATTGAAGGCTTATTTTAAAGCATCATCCAAACCTTATTCTAGGAAAATTAGTGGTTTTTGCAAACAAATCCTAATATAAAGTGGCATGGATATAATTCAATCAAAATTATAGGTTGAATAGATGAATTTAAATTTCTTTTAAAAATAAAAATAAAAATAAAAACCTTTATAATGATCAATGTGTGTTTTTAAAGTATAACTTTAAAAAAAATTAACAAAAATTTGGTAAATAAGAATATTATTGTCTTGTGGATTATCAAATAATAGATCCTAGTCTAATACATATGCAATAAAAGCTAAAAAAATAGTAAAAATAATCAAAAAATAAATCATATAAGTATGTAAGTAGATAAATGATACTATTCATATAATAATAATAATTATTAAATATAGTATAACTTACAATTTTACATCTGAAACAAAAGTTTACTAAGTTTGTATATTATATTGCTGCTAGTGAAATCAACAATTAATTTTTAAACCTTTTCAAATCTTCTTCTATCAATGGCTTAGTTTGGGAGTTAAAGTCTTAAATTAGATTGAAATGCTTTATTTTAAATACTCTACTTTATCAAATTTTACTTATATTTAGTTTTATTTTATATAGCTTAAAAACATATCTGTCCAAAAGGCATAATTAAAAGTGCAATCTACAATAAGAAATTTGAAAAAAAATATAAAAAAATATACAAAAAACATAAATCTAATAATATATAAAATACAAATTTTATAATATGATTATAAAATTGCAAGTATAATTATCAGAACCTGATTCTAAACTTACATGTATTTTTAATTACAAAACAATACCATCATGCAAAACAAATAAAGTGGTGCAAGAAATAAATTATGTTTATGTTAATGTCAAATAAGAAAAAAGAGACAAATTTGCATAAGTAGTTTTCATTAAAGTTGGTAGTAGAGAAAGTATGTAAGCTTAATCTTTAATTTGCAATGAGAAGTAATTTGGATTTCAGGTAGAAGATCTAGAATGTGTTGATTGAACTTTTTCTTAAAGAAGAAAAAGAAAAAGAATAGAAATTATATTTTTATGTTATTATAGATATAGTTTTTATATACCATGCTTTAGATCTTTATAAACTTTTAACATATAATCATAATAAATTTAATATTTACATATATATATATATATATATATATATATATATATATATTCACACACACATATATCTATATATTTTTTGTTTTTTTAATTATTGTTTTTCTTGTTGTGTTCTCATTCAAATTTAAAGCAATTATTAGATATATTTTTTTAAAATATTAATAATAAAAATATATTTATATAAAATTTTATCAATTTTTTATGAGTAAAAGGTTCTATTTGAATATTCAATCATTTAAAAAATCTATAAAAAAAAATTGTCTAATATTTTTGATAATTTTACGTTACATTTTCAATACTTGAATAATTAGACGTTTTGTTAAGCTTTTTAAGGCAAAAAGGAACTCTAAATTATTCAATAGTGATTTATACATGGTGGGTTAATTACTCTCATTTAATTCTTAAGATTTTAGTAGCTTATACTTGAAGACATCACAACCTGAATCTTTGTGAAGAACAGTGAATCATGTTTATTGTTTTAGTTGTTCCCGACTGCACTTTTCAATAGCCCATCGGACCCTGGTTTTTCATAATTTCGAGAATGCAAAATCAAAAACTATACTCTAAACCCTAATTCATTACAGTATTTGGAAATAATTTGGTGGGGGTTCAATATTATGCAAGCCTCGAACAACGGGATACAGCCTTCTAACAATTCAATAACAACAGTGTGTTTGTTATATTAAAGGTCATTGAGAGCGTTATGGGTGCCCTGCTCTGATGCCACGTCGTCAGCCACGTCGGTGTCCACGTCAAGCGTCGGAGGCTCCACGTCACGTCGGCGTCTCCGTCATCCCGCGAAGCCCTAATGGCTAGTTCGTAGGCCTGCGTTGGACAAGGTAATTGTTCAACAGAGCTTGTTGACGCTTGTTGATCAGTAGTAGATGTCCATCCCCAGGGGCTTGTCGCAGAGTGTGCAATGGAATCCGGAAGGAAACACAGATTGCTTCGTTTTCCCGACGTTTACTAGAGAAAACCAGTTAGAAGATCCTCTTCGCCTTATTGTGCGCAGTCGGGAGACGCTCTCTCTCTCTCTCTCTCTCTCTCTCTCTTGCCGTCTCTCCCGTTTGCCCCTGTACAGCAAAGGGTTTTAGGGGAGAGCGGCAAGGCGTCGACCACTGCGAACATCGAACACTCCCGACATTTGCAGTCATTCAGAGCCACAACGGGAGAGCTCAGGACGGATAGTCTCGTGGCTGTTTCTCTAATAGTGATATACGTTGTCTTTTCCAGGGTTTCATATCTTATTGCGTTTGTTTTGTTCCGTGTTGTTTGTTTGTATTTTTCTTTTTTGTGTGTCTTTTTTTTATTTGTTTCTATTCATCGCGTGTCAATCGCCCATCCTCCATGTCCCTCGTACATCCCTCCAATTCCTCTGTATCTTTGTTCCATGCTGCCCCCTCCCTGGTTCTCTATGTTTCTGCATCTCTTCTGCGCCGCTATTCATTCTAGATGACTGTTGCTGGGGGCTTAAGTTGGACTAGCAAGTGAGTGTCAGAAACGATGCCGCATCCGTCGGTTGTGCTGGCCACTGCAGGCTACGACCATACCATCAAATTCTGGGAAGCAACCACTGGCCGTTGCTACCGCACGCTTCAGTATACGGATTCAGTAAGTTTATTGCACACACACACACACACACACTCTCTCTCTCTCTCTCTCTCTCTCTCTCTTTCTCTTTTCCCAGTCTTTTTTTCTGCATACCTTGTAATATCTGTTCTAGTTGGTACCGTTTCACAATGGATGAATTGCACTTTCCTAGCTGTGTGTGTGAAGCTCTCTCTATGTTAATCTTGTATGCCATGCAATTATTTGCTATATATTCACATACCCATATTTAACAATAATAATTTCTTCTTCTCCGACTTGCAGCAAGTAAATAAATTGGAGGTTACGCCGGATAAGCAGTATTTAGCGGCAGCAGGAAACCCTCACATTCGACTTTATGATGTTAATTCCAATCATCCTCAGCCGGTACGCTTTTGGGTGCCCTTTATAACGCTCTTTAGATCCGACTGAATAAGCAACAGGTCTGTGAATGCGATCAGTGTCTTTTAGAGAGCTACTTCAGTTTGGCCGCTTTTTTTAGTTTGAAAACCTGCACTGTCATAACAGCTATGGTCTCACGAATGAGTCTTAACAGCTGTTGTGTATTTGGATTATGTGAGTCAAATAAAAGACGACGTTGATCCTGATTGCACGCTCTTTCTTTTTGACACTAACGATGGATTATTCGTTTATTTATTTATTTATTTTGTTTGGTTTTGTTCTGTATTATTTTTTGGTTCCATTTATAAACAGTATGTGCTGTGTTCTCAGCGAACTTGACTTTGTCTTTCATGTGTTGGCAGGTGTTGACTTATGAATCGCATATGAACAATGTGACCGCTGTTGGTTTTCAGTGCGATGGGAAATGGATGTATTCAGGTTCTGAAGACGGTACTGTTAAGATATGGGATCTCAGGTATGTTTCTTCCACCAGTTTTCTTGCAGTTCAGGAACGATGAGGCTTGGACCCTAAATGAGTTTCTCTGCTACTCGTATTGTGTAGACAGAATTAGAATAAGAGTATTCCAAAAAGGATGCAAAAAATGTTTTTCAGTTGGTTTTTTCGAAACAACGATAGTTCTATGTCTTTTTCTGATGCTTGTGGGTAGCTTCTCGCTTTGTAAGATGTTGTCTAGATTCCACTGTAGCCTCAACTTTACATTGGTATAGTTTGACTTCAATTTGGACCTCTGCATGCTGTGTAGTTTTTATTTTATTTTTTTAATTTTATTTGAGTAGTTGCATCCAACATTGTGTTTGATGATACATGTAATTTACTTCTCAAAGTCCATTAAATGGATTCACAGAGCACCTGGTTGCCAACGCGAATACGAGAGTAGAGCAGCAGTGAACACTGTTGTCCTTCATCCTAATCAGGTAACTCGTGACAGGACCTGCAGCATTTGATTCCCTTTTTGTGAACAATCGCTCGTGAACGAAGCTAACTTCTCTCCCTTTTGAATCCCTGTGATTTTGTATAGACCGAATTGATATCAGGCGATCAAAATGGGAACATCAGAGTTTGGGACCTTCAATCAAATTCGTGCAGCTGTGAGTTGGTGAGACTCCGCATATGCTTGGGTTGTGTGTTAGACTTCCTTCGCTGTCTCGAGTCGACTTACAGTGTGGAGTTCCTAGCATGATTTTCAGATTCTCTTGACAACGGCTGTCGTTTTTTAGTCTACGAGGTGTTAGGTTTTTCTGTTTAAGATCTGATCGGTTTTGAGGTCTGATTTATGTTCTTCCTACGATCTGTTTCTGGAATGACCACAATGTCATTTAGGTGCACTTAGCTTGTGGTTCTGATCCTCTTTTACAGGTTCCGGAGGTGGACACAGCTGTTCGTTCATTGACAGTAATGTGGGATGGCAGTCTTGTTGTGGCCGCCAACAACAATGGCACATGTTATGTATGGCGTCTACTTCGTGGAACTCAGGTTGACCTCTTCTTCACCAAGAACCGCTTTAACTTGCATGCACTTCTCCCTAAATGTGGTCATTCAGTTAAGAAGACCCGTACTAATGGAAATACAAGAGCTTCTTGTGGATTGGGACGCCTGAGTCCGCAGCTCAGTAACTGCGTCTTTAGTCAACTGGAAACCTGTGAGGATGTTTTTCAGAGATAACTATGTATGAACTTATGGAAAGGCCTCTACATTGTACATGATAGGAATGGGACATGAGATTCTATTACAACTTGTGGTTGTAGGTCTTATGGTATTCATCAATTTAACTTTCTAACAACTCGAATCCTTCCGTGCAGATGATGACAAATTTTGAGCCACTTCATAAACTTCAAGCACATGATAGATACGTATTGAAGTGCTTGCTATCACCTGAGTACTGCGAGCCAAATAAGTATGTAATTTCACTTCTCATTCATAGTGATACTGGTTTTTTTTGATATGTCAGTGAGCTCAATATTGCCTTAAATTGACGTAGATAGGGTTGATTCCACGAGACTAGTATGATTTGGAACATTTCTCCAGAAAGAGCCCGTGGAATTTGGATTTATGTTTATCCGATTTGTACGGAGTCAACCTATACTACGCAGTAATTGTCCACAATTATGACGACTGGTATGTTTGTTCGTATTGCAGATATTTAGCTACAACGTCCTCTGATCACACTGTAAAGATCTGGAACATTTTTGATTTTTCTCTTGCAAGGACTTTAAAAGGTGAAAACTTTATTCCCTTGCGACTACAAACTTGTGCGAGCGTAACGTTCTGCTTATTTACATCCGTTGCTTTACGCCACTATTGAGACATTGCACTATGGGCAGGATATTGCTGTAGCTAGATGCGTTACCAGATCTAACAGGGGTGGAAATTTGTATTCAAACAAAATTCTGATGTGCTTCTCTGAGTGCTAACATTGCGGGAAGTGTCGTGCGTACTAGACAAGGATCGGTCTCTCAAATTCGTGTAAAAATGCAGGACATTCTCGATGGGTCTGGGATTGTGTATTTTCTGTCGATGGTGCATTTTTGGTTACAGGTTCGTTGCTATTTTCTTACTCGTCACTTAACAAACCTTGTTAAGCTGCATATTCGTAATTTTCTCACAGTTTTTATATATATATATATATATATATATATATTAGAAATGTAGTTCTTATATACACATATATACATACAATATATACCTGTATGTACAGATGGAAATGAAAAACATTGAACTGTGTGAGGGTTTCTTATATAATCTGATATCATCCTTAGTTTTATTTCCAAAATACTTTACAGTTGTGGTTCAATCGTTGAAGTGCTGATTAATGATTTTTAGTTATAAGATGTCTTGGATAGATATGGTTGCTTCATGATTCTGAGTTGATTCAACTTAGTTATCTCCTTTCTGACGGCTTATTAATGTGAACCATCCTGGTGCACAGCATCTTCGGACCATACAGCTCGACTTTGGGAGCTTTCCACTGGAGAAGCTATTCGAGTGTACCAAGGCCACCAAAAGGCTACCGTCTGTTGTGCATTACATGATGGCACAGATCCGTCAGCTGTCTAAATTTCAGCCGGTGAGTGTATTGCTGTTATCAGATACTCGACTTCTGGTATTTGACGGACTGAATAATGGAGGCTTTATTATTGGATACATATCTGAAAGTGAAGTCTTGAAGTACTGGTTCAACATGCAGGTTATTAGTCCTTTTGCCTGTTGTATTGGAAGGCCCTTGACAGCGCTGCGGTTCTGCTTCCTCTCACATTGTACAAATAGGTTAATTTATTTTGGTAGTCTCATGAAGACATTAGTGCGCATTTATACTTGAGATGCGCTTCAGAACTCCGCTGGTTAATTGCTTAAATATTAGGATCTGGAGTGCTATGAAGATTCTGAAATGCAAGTTCTGTTTAAATCCAAAGCTTCTGTACAATTGTAGCATCGATCATGTTTTGAATGTTCGAGACTTTGCTGACATAAATATGCCCAAGAGCTGCTTACAGATTTGTATACTTGGAGGTTGGCAAGATACCAATTGTGCTAAACATTCATCTAAATCTTGTACATGACGTGCAATCTACTCTTTGACATCTTAAGGTTTTTCAAGACCAATCACAATGATAATCACCTATGATAATCACCTGAAATAAGACCATATATTACAGAAGAACAACTTCTAATTCGTATAAGATTGCTCAACTTAAATTTCCTAAGATATTGAAAATTAGTTCTAAGGGACCACAATTGTTGGCCAAAACAGATATCACACCTAACTAGATCCTTTTTTTAAACCAAGAATTTGTAATAGCATTTTTTTGACACAACGTTGAAATTTTGACCAAATTGAATTCAAATCAATTCACTTTCAAACTATTCATAAAATCTTTAGATAGTTGATGCCATCAACAACATTATACTTAAAACCAAGTGCCATGGACTAGTTCTAACTTGGTAATTTGTTCAAATCAGAATTGAAGATCTTTGGATCTAAATACATGCCAATTATTCTTTGCCATCATTTAAAGAAAAAACTTGTAAAGAATGGATGGTTGTTTACCCTGGTTGTGTAAAAAGTGATAGATGTGTGGAGGAATCCAAGAATATCAATAATATTTATCCAACCCAACTATCTTTTGTCTAAGCTAGACCTCTAATAGAAATTACAAGATTTATTACATGGCATGGTGATGCAACTACCATAATTAAATATATTTATTTTTAGATAAATTCATTTGGCCTTTCTCTTAACATTGGCTTTTGAATGTGATGTTAATTACTCAGGCATATAAACAAAACATCAATTAATTGTTTTAATATTTTTTATAATCCTTTGCAAGAATAACAATAACATCATCAAAAAACATCATTATAGTAAACAAATAAACATTTGAGTTGAATTGATATTATTGTGAATATGTAGGATGTGTGGTATAAGGGGATGTCCATGCAGTAAAAGGAGGGTCTCTAAAAATAGAATTATATTTAAATTATAAAGAAACAAGTTGGTTTTGTTGAAATAATAGCAAAAATTATAATTGCTAGTGCTAAAGCAATCTATTTCTTTTAAATGCATTAATGTATTTATTTAAATATTTAATAATAGTATTAATAGTATTTTGATAGCCCTGTGTCAGTTATATTACAACATAAAATGTTAAAATAAAAACATAAGTAATATATGCTATGATTATTTAACAATAGCCAAGAAGGTTCTAGAAAAAATAACATCTTAGAAGTCTACATAATAAGATATAAATTAGGTCCAATAATAGATAATATAAGTGATTTTTTTCTACATGATACAAAGTTGATTTGGACTAGATGAAAAGAAGTAGAAAAATTATATTTGAATAAAAATAATAATATAAACAAAAAAATGTTTAAAATCAAAGTGGTTAAAATAAAACTTTAATTTTCAAATTTTCGTAAGAAAGAAATAAATAAATAAACTATTCAAACTAAAGTTAGTATAATAATTTTACATTAAGAACATTTAAGTTTTTTTTATTTAATTAATGTTATATGTTCAGATACATGCATTATATAATTTAAATTCAAAAAAATTACTAGAATAATAAAAATAATCTTACTAAGGAAGAAAAACATAATAACTCTCTGATATTTTATTAACAAAGAAATGAATAAAAAAAAAATCTTTCACTATACTTTAGAATTAAAGCCATCAAAATAAATTTTATTTAAAATTCAAATATAAACAATGATAAAAATCCCATTAATAAATCAAAACATGATTACAAGTTTTAAAGTTGATACTTTTTATTAAAATCTTGAAGAAGTCAAAATCAAGAAAAAAATAATTAAACAAATCAATATTTCTACAAATGTTTTAAAGAAGATAAGATAGATTATACTTCAATTTTTCAAATAACTGGAAGACATTTTATACTTAATAGTTTTTAAATTTGGTTATCTTTACAAAATTTTAATTAATACCTAAAGCTTTTATGTAAAATCTAAGAATATATGTTTATTCTAGTGATCTAATTTGATATAATTATATATTACAAAATAAAATAAAATAAAATAACTTTTCAAGACGAGCTTGTCTATATTATCCACAAATTTAGATGGAAAAGTAAAGCCTTGTTGATTCTTTGATAAATTGATATAATAATTTTTCTCATACTTGAAAGAATAATCAATAAAAAGATATCCATATTAGAATGATCCTAATACTAATTGTTTTTTACGAAAAAAAAGTTTTAAAAATATTTCAATTATATCTTTAAATTAATTATGTTGTGTTGTTTCAAATTTATGCTTTTACTCCCATTATAATTATAAAAAAGTATATGTAATATTTTATTTTCAAATTCCTTGATATGGTCTTGAATTGAAATATTTTAAAAAAATTAAAAACATTAATTTTACCACAATTGTATATAAATAATATTTATTGTTATTGATTTCTAGTCAAGATTGCATTTGCAACAATTGGCAACAAAAATTACCGTTTGGGGTTCTTAAATATAAGAATAAAACATTGAATATCAGGATTCACTTGAAATTAGCTGTATGTAGTAGTAATATAATGTGGTTGGTTTGTATTGGTTGCAAATCCAATAGTGGCAAAATAAATCTCAATGAACCCACTTCGAATCAGCAACAATAAGTCAACTGTAGGTGTAAATAGTTTGTAAGGTAGAGTAGACAATTCACTCTTGAAGTGCTACTCAAATCCAAAATACACTACTACTCCGTCGTGTAAGAAACATCTTGATGCAGATTTAAGAATAAGAAAGTTAGGAAATATCCAACAAAGTTTTTGTCTTTATGGTTCAATGTGAAATTCAAAGAAACAAGGACAATGAAGTTGCACCCACAACCCTAACCTTTAAAATTTCAACTTTTTGTAGTTCAGAGCACCAAAGCTTCTCAGCAATATGCTCATCTTAAAATCATATGACAGAAGCTGAAGCACAAATATCACCCCAAATAACATCCTTTTAAAATGAAACACATCACATATATATATATATATATATATATATTACTGTTCTGGCATACTTTACTAAAGGAGTCCCGTCGCCAACATCTGGACGGGGAACAGCGGTAGAGATGATAGTCACACACCCAGCGACCGACCGGGGAACGGCGTTCATAGTTACCCTGTCTTTGCTCATGTGGGTGAGAGAGATGGTTGGAAGTGGATGTCATTTTTTCTTCTGGCGATGGCGGAGCTTACGGCGTGATCGGAAAGGTGCAGGATCGGAACGGAGCAGTGAAGAAGGAGAAGAAGAAGAAGATTTAGGCGGATTCGACTCGACCCAACTCGATTCTTAACAGAAGGGTAGAAGAACCGAAGCGCGATGCAGAGGAAACAGCGTCTGACGCAGCCGTCGCTGCTGTCGAGGGCAGTCGATAGTGTGTTTCGGTTCGTGCGGTTGGCGGAATTCGAGATCCTGTTTGTGCTCTTTTTCGTCATCGTGTATTTGCTCTTTAAGGACTTGGTAAACCTGCACGTCAGCTTTCCTCGCATCATATTCTGTGTTTGTTTCTTCCGCTGGATGATTGAACGACATTGGGTTGGTTAAACTGGATTGTCGTTAAGACAAGGGGTGGCGAATTACGTGCGCCGCGTGCGATGAGTGCTCTCTTATTGCTTTTTTGAAATAGAATATTTTAGTTAGTTTGGATCGTTGAGATGTTGCGAGTTCTGCCTTTTTCGATTAGGCGAAAACTTATTATGAAGGAGAGTAGGTTGTTGTAAGCAACCAGCTACCCCTAAAAAAAATTCGTTTGCCATAAAATGGCAGTTAGCGTATCCAGGGTAATTTGGTTTTATGTAGATTAGGTCCGAACAAATTTGAAGGGCATTTATCGTTTAGGTTTTTGACATGAACCCGTGGTAGAGTCCGATACTCTTTTCAAATCTCTGCGTATCTAAGGCGGTCATAAATGAGTGAACAAGCATCCTTACATGATGTCTTTCTTCTTTGTGAATGTCATTGCCTGGATCTGACATCGGTTAAATGATAAGTAGTGAAGAATGTCTACTTCTTCTTCTTCCTGGTTTTTTGAGTTGGAAAAATGATGCGGTTCTGACCAGTGAGGCTCATGTGTCGTTTGCACAGACATCTCGGCCAGATTACAATCGGATTTTATCCAAGAAGAGGTTAGACGAGATTACTAGTGGTGTGTACTGAGACTTCAGCATGTTTCGGAGCTCTTTTCACGCAGGCTTCTCTTAAGCTTGCGCAATAAGAGGTGAACAGACTCATCTCTTTCGCATTGTACTATCTTGTTGTATCTTGGTGCCTTATGTACACTAGCCGCCCCAGTGAACGTAGTCGATGCGCATCCTGTCACTGCGTGGTGATATTGAACCAGGTGTCCAGTGCCCCAGATGTACTTGGGTGAAAAAGAGCAACTGTGGTGATCGGTGCAATTTTGGTGAAGTTGGTTTTGCGGCATTCTTGTGAATTGGTTTTATCGAAGAAACTTTTGTCTTTCGACGTTCCTCTCAAATGCCTATATGTTACGGCTTGTGACAGGGTTTAAAAATAGGGAACAAGGAAGGCCTGTTGGTCTCCATGCACTGTTCACGGTGCTCATTTACACTTATGCTTTACCCTAAGGAGTGACTGCCACCGCTTGTATACCTTCTGGACTTCTTTGATACAATCATGCACGGTGTGTTGTTAGACTTTAATTTGGGTGACTGGAAATTTGATCCTGTCATGCGCATTGTTGCCAGCAGATAATGTTGGCGTGTGTAACTTGTAGAGCCCACATATAACAGGAAGTTTTCGTATCGTGGGTTTAGATGAATGTGCTTGTACCGTTTTACCTATGAAGGAAGCTTATTCCGCAGTCGTGTTTTTTGGTTCATGAGTGATCTTTAACATTAATCATGAAGAACATGAAAAAATACATCTCATGACCCATGACTGATGACTCTCTATGCAAGCGGTTTCTAGTAATGGTTATGAAGGTTTTGAAAAAATATTTTTCTTTTTAAAGTCAAGTAGTGGTGTTATGAGCATCGAACGCAGGTTCATAACGAAATTAGTCCACATGAAAATTATTTCTTCATGATCTGCATCAGGAACGTTTTCAGAATGAAGTAACTAACCATCGCTACGAATCTGGTCTGTATTCAGACAGTCGAGTTTGGGAAGATTGGAATGAAACATCAATGGTGTAGAGCAAGAACAATTGATATAGTCTTTCGTTAACTTGATTCTTATCGATTGCTTAACCAAGTCTTCAACTGCAGTCAGTAACACACTTAAAGCCTTTCGTATGCACTGTGCAAATGCGGGTGGATGAGAGTTGAAATCAAACTCTGTTCCACCCGTAACTCCACACGGAAGGTACACAGCACAAATTGTGTACTAACATAGCCCTGGCAAGTGCATGCCAGCAGCCGCATCCGGCATGATTACTCTCAAATCGGCTCTACTCCGAGGAAGAGTAGCCAGCAAGAGTTTTGAGAGAAGAAAACGTTCTAAGATGGTGGTGGCCCAATGCACTGAAGCAGGCTTCCACAACATTTTTGAGTTCTGTGGTTATAATTCTAATGTGGGAAGCGCGGAGACGTGTCTCTTGCGACAATCTCAAGACATGCATCTTGCAATCCTCGAATCCTGCATACAAGTTTGTGGGTGGTTTGTCCCCCTCCACAAGTCTCACATCAGTCCACAAAGGTCTGGTTTTGATCAACATTTAATCATCGTGGGAGTTAAAATATTTGTTCCATCTTGGTTTGGGACTATTTCATCCTCTGGAAACCTCATTCGAGGCAACGGTAGAGTCGTTGCAAAGAAGAAATCCTTATCTTTCACTATTGTAAGAATTCTAAGAACAGAGGGACACCGCTCAGGCTTTGTTATCTTTAAGACAGTTAAGTTTATTTTTTGTCTTTTTCAAGAAAGGATTATATTTGTTAAGTTCTTCGTTTTTAAAAAATATTTTATAATATAGTATATTATTGAATAATGTTTATTTTACAAATAACATTTTTTAAATCAATATCTCTTGTTAATATCTACTCAATGGCAAAGAGATACTTTTAATTTCACAATAAAGCTTTGTGTTGTAGTTGGAACACTATTTTTCTTTCTTTTTAATATTTGTTATCAAATTTCAACATAACTAACCAAACAACATAATTCTAGAATGCACCAAAAAGAAATCAATATCTTTTTAAATTTATTTTTATAATTATAACATAAAATTTTGAAATTGAGAAAATAAATGTTATGTCTAAATAAATTCGTCATATATAGAGATATATAGGATAGAAAAAAATGCATAATTATCATTGTTAGTGGAAGTCCTTAGTAAAATCAAAATAAAAATAAAAATGAAATCCAATATGATCTCAAAAGTTGTTTTTACCAATCCAATATGGTTCAATAATATATTCTTCTTTTAAAGCATTATAAAATCAATTACATGTCAAAATTTGAAATTTTAATTTATTATATTTTGTATTCTAAATATAGAACAAAATGTCCTGTCTAAAAATATTGATTGCTAAATTTTAGACAAAGATTTTCAGTGAGTTGGATTTTTTCTAATAATAACATTGATGTAAACTTCAACATTCAGTATGATTTGTAACACTTATGTTTTTTTATTTAGATTAATGGAATATACATATATTGATTGAAATTGACCATGACAACAAGTATATACGAGGCCATTTTTAGTTAATTATATTATTATGGTTTAAATAAATAATAATTTACAGAAACATCCCAATTATTAGACAAATGTAAAAAAATTACATGGTAGTAAAATTACTTAATGTGAACCCAATATTTCCTTAAACGGTTATTAGAAAATATTACAAATATTCTTCCAACAACTATTTATTATTTTTCCAAATCCAATAACATACATGAAAATGTAGATTTAAGATGTTATATATATATATATATATATATATATTTAAAGTGGTTGTTGTAAGGATGTAAATTTATGAATGTAGTTATTGTGTATTTTTTCTTTTTCCATCTAATCTGTGTCTAGTAGTGTGTATGTTGATTAATTATTTGTTGAGTTGCCTTACTTTGTATAAGTAATTTAATCTAATAGTATCGTAGAGCATCAAATAAATACACATTTTAATGATAAGAATTAGGTTATTAGACGGTTTTTATTGCAAAAATGCATATAATATAATATTTTGACATAGAAGACACACATGCACAACAAAAATTGAAAATACAATTGATTTTGAATGTGCTAACTTTAATTACAATGTTATAAATAAAATATATGTATATAAACACACATAACTTTCTAGCTTGGAGTTGCCTTCAATACACATCTGACATCTCAAGACATGCTAAAATACCATCACCTCTAAGATAACAAAATATTTAATTCATCTTACTTATTAAGTTAGATCTAATTCATACAAATAAGTAGGTTAGAATACTAGATAGATCCCTGAGTAGGAATTTAAGATAATCTTTATTATTCCACAATTCAAATTTGTAATATGATCATTACTATGGTTTCTATGTATTGAACTCTTCTGTAGTGACTTTGATTTTTATTGCTTGGGTTGTACTAGGTGAATATACTAGATTTTTCTTCTTTTGTTATCTCTTATGGTTTTAAGGTGAAAAAGACCAATGTTTAACATATAACGTATTTCTAAAGATTCACATGCTTTTGAATAATTTTATATTTTAAAGTGAAAAATCACAAAATCATTTAATCAAAATTAAAAAATAAAAAGCTGAACACACAACCAAATCATTACGGTTCATTTTCAGTTTCCCAAAAACTTAGCTTAAAACTCTTGATATTCTTGATTTGCGTTGTAGGTTTGATTGCCCAAGTCCTCCAAAAAAAAGTTACAACATCAAATATGAATTCTCACATCAGATATGTAGAAATCAATATTAAATCCCACAAACCACACAATTACAGAACTCAAACACCACCTTGAAAGACCCAAATTTAGTTACAAAACTTTGACGACACTCTTGACTATAATTTTCTCTTACAAAGAACGCAGACCGAAGGGAAACAAAATTGTAATAAAATCTGTGGGAAAAGTTCTTCCACAAGGGCAGATTCCATTACATTTTGGGAATGCCCGAGACAGTTGGGGCAGGAGGCAACGGAGTCCACGCTGGCCTGATGACGTGGAACGAAAAAGCAGCTCATTGACGGAGGAAAAACAGACGACGACGGAGACGGGGGGGGGGGGGTTGAAAAGGCAGCGTGATGGCTCCAGGCGAGGAGGAGCATTGAAGAGGGGTACCGGGGGGGGGGGGGGGGGCCCGTCAGACTGCACGGGGACGGTGAATGCTAACGCAAGGAGGGCGAGATCCGGGGTCATCACTGATTGCCCGCTTGCGCCGCGCATCCCCTCGTCGTCGTCCACCTCCACTCTCTCTGTGCGCGACGACGCCATGAGAAAAAAACACAGACCACCACTACCATGACCACCACTAGTACTACCACCACGACGTCTCCAGCTTCCCCACCTGAGCTGTGCTGCCAAGCTGCCCACTTGAGGCCGCATCACCCTTTCCACGCTGCTGCCAAAATTGGGTGACCGGGGCCCGTCTGCGCTTGCTTGCGTCTGGCTGCTGGTTCATAGAGAATTCGGTAGTAGTGGGGAGGGAGGGTGCACAAGGGTTCGCGCCCGACGGGAATGAATGGCTTTGCCGCAAGCTTGTGTGTAGTGGAGTGAGCCTTGCGCGTGTGGATGAGTGAGTGGGGCCCTTTCCTTGCCAGATGCTCTCGCTCGCCCTCGCTCTTTCTCCTCTCGTTTTCCTCTCTCTCTCTCCCCTACTCTACCTCTCGCTGCTGCGCCTTTTCTCATGGTTAGGAGCTTTTCTGGTTTGTGGGTTGAGGTGAAGTATGGGCTAGGTCTGTGTGGTGTCACCTCAGGAGCGGTGGACGTTGGCTAGTTGCGTGCGCATGGTACCAGTGTGCGTTGCTTAGGTTTCACACATTCTAGCTGCTGTGGGTTCAGATTTGTGGATCCACCCCCTGGACTCTGTTTTTAAGCATCTATGTTGCTACCGTCAGTTTGCTTGATTAGGCTTTGTTGTGTTGCTTTTTGGTACTTGTAACCTTCACCCCTCCGCCATATTTGTAGATAGCCCAGAGAGTATTTGTCTGCGTTTCCTGCATTAGATTGCGCTGAGTCTTTCCAACACGGAGGAAGAGCGTTAGGATTACTTGGCGGGGGACAAGTGTCTTTGATCGAGGTTTGAATTGCGTGATCGTAGCGACCTTAATATGTTTTTTTCTTTTTTTCCTTTTTTTGCAGTTCTTGATTTCGTGACAGGGGTTTATTTGTGCTCTGGGAAAGCAGCATAGGGAAGGATTGATCTTCATTTTTTGTAAGCCATTTCGTGTGCATTGATAGACGAATCACGTTGGAGAAGGATCTCAATTATGCCTGTTTTGGAAATTGTTGAAACATGTCTCTGAAGTGCCATACCGTGTTATGCTTCTGATTAGGGTCATACCTGAATCTGCAGCGCGGTTTGCACACTTGCATTTGCCAGCTCAAGAGCTGTTGGATTGTGAGCGAGCTCGTATCACTTTCAGGGCCGAACATATGCGCTGCTAGTGGAGTGAAATGTCCTCTTCATTCCCGACTAGCACACTTCGTAGGGGCCGATGACTTCTTAGATGCTATCATTTTAGGGTCGGAAGCTGCAAGTCCTGTGAAAGCTGCAATCAGGTGAGTTTAGTGGATGGAGCGTAACGCTCTACTTGAAAGTAAGAATAGAGGAGGAGCTGATCGGCGAGGTGGTATGATAGGCTATGGTGGTGGACGGAAGAGTCCAACCAGATAGGGAAGGGGGTTGGGTTTGTCGAAAGCTTGTAGTGCTTCGAAGGGCGGACATAGTTGATTGAAGCAATTTTGACCCGGAATGGCAACGAAAGTGGAAGTCCCTGAGGGCACATGTCCTCCTGGTAAACACCACTACATGCTATGGCGAAGTGTATTTGAGATTGACACGAAGTATGTCCCGATGAAGCCGATTGGGAAGGGAGCATACGGTGTAGTGTGTTCAGCCAAAAACAACGAAGCAGGGGATCGAGTGGCTATCAAGAAGATCACGAATGCATTTGAGAATACTACAGACGCCCGGCGTACGTTGCGTGAAATCCGTTTGCTGCGTCATTTGTTCCACGAGAACATAATTGCCGTGAAGGATATCATGAAGCCAGTTGGTCGTCGAACTTTCAACGATGTTTACATTGTGTATGAGCTTATGGACACCGACCTTCATCAGATAATCCGTTCGTCACAGACCCTTACGGATGACCATTGCCAGTATTTTATTTACCAGGTGAGTGCGATTTGGTGGTGATGGATGCCATTACTTCATTCATTTCGGTTGTGCTTTGTGAATGATTTCCAGGATCTTATGCACTGAGCATGCCAATTCTTACTGCGTGCCTCCACCTCGTACGCAGTTGTTGCGAGGTCTCAAATATATCCATTCTGCGAATGTTCTGCACCGCGATCTAAAGCCAAGTAATCTGCTACTCAATGCTAGCTGCGACTTAAAGATTTGCGACTTCGGATTGGCGCGGACAGGGAGTGATAAGGGTCAATTCATGACCGAGTACGTCGTGACGAGGTGGTACAGGGCTCCCGAGCTTCTTCTGTCATGCGATGAGTACACAAGCGCGATAGATATGTGGTCTGTTGGCTGCATATTTGCGGAGCTTTTGGGGCGGAAGCCCTTATTTCCTGGCAAGGATTATATTCATCAGCTCAAGCTGATAATAAGCATCATCGGATCTCCGGACGAGACTGACCTGCATTTTATTCAAAGTCATAAGGCGCGGAGCTACATCCAATCCCTCCCTTTCACGCCTCGTGTATCTCTCGCTCGCCTTTATCCCCGCGCAAATCCCTTGGCCATTCAGTTGATAGATAGGATGCTTGTGTTTGATCCGAGGAAGCGGGTCACCGTGCACGAAGCTCTGGAGCACCCATACTTGTCAATGCTATACGATGCTAGCCAGGAGCTCTCCGCTCCCGCTCCTTTTGACTTCGACTTTGAGGATGAAGACCTCAAGGAGGATGCATTGCGAGAAAGGGTTTGGAACGAAATGTTGATGTACCACCCAGAAGCGGCCAGTGAGATGTGATTTCTGACATCATAGTTGAGTGCCTTCTTTTTTTTCTTTGACTTGCTGCTTCTTCTTTATCTCTCAACCTTTGAACGTCAGAATAACCAAGCTATCCCTGTGTAGCAAGCGAGACAAACATGTTGCACGCTAGATAGCAGCGTTCGAAATTTTTCACTGTGAGGTATGGTCGATGTTCTAAGAGTCAGTGGATCCGCGAAAAAAAAAAAAAAAAAAAAAAAGGAAAAGAAAAGAAAAAGAAGACAGTGTATTCTTTTTTGCTGAATACAGTAACGGGTGCAACAGGAGGGTTTACACAACGTTTCCAACTTCTGTAAATGAGGCCCTCAGCATCACCTCTCAGGCAAGCTCGGTGAGTACTACCCGAGTCACGCATTTCATGTGATGATTTGCGTGTAATCCAGGATACTTAGCGGGCCTTCGTAGCAGCAACCATTATGTGTACATATGATCACTACCTGTATTATGTTTTTCGGAATGTAGTTTTTCGGTTGGCTTATAAACTGGAAGTCGTGTTGCCGGGCTATTTGTTGTCTTACAGCCTTGGTTTGCCCTGTAATACCCCCGTAATCTCTGCAACTTGATTAAAGTGGTCCATGGTATGAGCCGTCACACCGTTGATTTCTCTGAAGTAGGAGCCAGAGAGACTTATCGTTGCGTAAAGTCTTCCATCTTTCAAGTTGCAATCCAACTGTCAATGCAAAACCCCTCATCTATGCAAGTCTCGATGTGCCACTTGGGCGGATGTTCTCTCGCACATTTTTATCCGGCATCCCGATAATCGGCTGTCGTTCGACGTGGATCGATCAACCAGTATTGTATGTAATCCAGTCCAGCGTTTGATCGAATCTGTGTGAATGCCTCTTTGTCTTGCGTCTGAATGAGATTGGCCAGTTATTACATCGGGGCTTTGCTCAATACTTTTAGGGTTCTCTCCAGTCCTTGAAATTCACACAAGTTATATGCATTGGGAAGTCTACGATGTAAGTTTTGTACTTTTATTTTATTTATTTTTATTTTTTTCTCATTTATTTCCTTTTCCTTCCTCGATTTGGTTTCACGAGGAGCAGTAGGGGCGAGAAAGTTTTCGACTTTTTTCTTTTCGATTCTGTCGCTGCGTTGTGCTATCTTCCCGGCACAAGGTTGACTCATTACCACCGTTACGATGACTTCTATCAGAAAAAAGAAAAAGAAACTGTCAGAAGATAATTTCAATGATTTTCCACGAATCGTCTTGAAATGTCTCAAAGTACAGAAGTTGCCAAAATTGGTTAACATTGTCTAGCCCACATGCTCGTAACCGTATGTAGGAATCCTGCAAGTTAAACTCGGCAAATGGGATTTGTATTCCATGATTGGCAGGCTTGCATAAACATAGCTGAACAGATACCGCACGTACTGATAATGTGACGGATGAATGAACCCCCAGTGGGTCGCCTTGAGGCACAGACGAAACCGAAGAAGGACCTCAGAGTGGTCTCCTTTCAGAACGATGCAGGTCTAGCCAGGTTTCGGACCGCCATCGCCCACCTCTCTGCTGTCGCATAGTGTTCCAACCCTCGTTGGTCAGAATGGTGACCCCTCTCGTCAAGCGCGATGTTATCAAGAAGCGCGTCAAGAAGTTCAAGCGCATGCAGTCTGACCGCAAAATTTGCGTTAAGGTGATCGACGTCCAGCCATAAATACTTTCAAGCTCTAACCTCTTCACTGGTTCCTGTACTTGTTCGATGCCAGCTTTTAGGGCCTGTTCGGATTTTTACATGTGGGTTCCTCATTATTCGTCTAAGCCTAGTGCCTTGTGTCAACAACCAGACCAACTGGAGAAGGCCCAAAGGTATCGATTGTAGGGTTCGCCGTAAGTTCAAGGGTACTACGTTGATGCCCAACATTGGTTACGGATCCAACAAGAAGACGAGGCATGTGCTTCCCAGCGGATTTGTGAAATTTTCGGTACACAATGTGACCGATCTTGAACTTCTCTTGATGCACAACAGGTTAGTGTGCCCATAGCCGATCCTGCTATATTTTCTTTCTTATTTTTTAATTGGTTAGGCCTAACTGAGAAGTTTCTATGAATTCAGATTCTGGGTATGAACTTAATTGTCAACCAATGCTGCTACCTGGCCCTTCCCTCACACATTACACACTGGACGTATTCTTAAGAATTTTTGTATAGAAGTGGATTCGGAATTGCCTGTGTTGTCTCTCCCTGTCGTTTTTATCCTCAAAGCATTAAGTTTGGTTAGTTTTTTGAGTGTTCATAACTCGGAGATTTGACCTTGTTTTCTGTCTTCATTGTTTTAGACTGCATTGCTTGCATGTTTAAATATGAACTGTCTTTTTACATGTCTTGTGAGTTTCCAATGAAATCTTATTCGCTCCTGTGGTTTGCAAAGTGTACTCAACTTGAGACACCCTTTCAGATAAGCAAATGTTTTGAAACGGCTTGAGATGTTTGTGTGTGAATGCGGTTTAATGGTGAGACTTGCATCCTATGGAGGGTTTCCCAGGAAGTACAGTGCTGAGATTGCACATAATGTATCCACATTGAAGAGGAAGGCCATCGTCGAGCGAGCTGCGCAGTTAAATGTGGCAGTGACGAACGGCAGTGCACGCTTGCACAGCCAAGAGGATGAGTAGAAGATGGTAAACGAAAATTCTCTGCTTTGATTTAGCCTGGAATTGGCCAAGGGAGGCATGATGTTGAACCTTGCTTTCTATCAATCTTAAAGAGGATTCCTATATGACGGTATATTTAATATTGAGCCATGTTGAGCTGCCTTTTTGGCAAAATGCCCTTCATTTAATTTGGAGTTCTTAGTGCACATTACCAATACAATTTGATGTTAATTGTTTGATGTTAATTGAATGTTGGCTTTCCTTTGATTGATTGTATGCATTCATCAAGCTATTTATATAAAGTGGATTTATTTGTCTATTTCAGTGTTTTAATAATAGCTGCATAGTAAACGATCATAGCATGTATTTTTAGTTCGTCTATAAATAACTATATGGAATAAATAATTGGCTATTTCTAAATAGCAGTAAACAAAATTGTATTTTGTTTATTTGCAGGTATGGAGCATTTGAAGTGCAAGACCAATTGTTTTATCATATCTAGTTATATTTAATCTTTATGCTTTCTTTCTATGTGCAATTAATTTATAAGGATATATCTCATGTTAAATGGGATCAAGATGGTTTTTTAACCAAAAAGGTGAGAATGTATTTACTAATTTAATTTTTACTAGAGACATGGTTGTTGATGTTGAAGATCAACAAGTACTTGCTTAGTTACAACCACATAAAGATTAAGCATAGTAAGTTGCTACTAGTCAAAAGGCAACAAAGAGTTATAGGAAGTTATTGTGGTGGCATTAAGGATTTGTTGGTGGTGGTTAGATTAAGAAAGAATTTAGGGTTTAGTTGAATGAAGTAAAAATGGATGTAATATCAAAAGGATGGAAGTTGTTTCGTTGGTTAGCAAACCACCACCTGTAAGTAAAAAGTGTTAGAAGTAAGAAGTATCTTTTTCCACACTTCTTTTAGAGTACAATTTTTGTTGATGGTAAGTATTTGTAGCTTTTAGATTTTTTTTTTAAATAGGTTATGGATCCACTCACATTTGTTTGAGTGTTTTGAAGTTCTTTGAAGTGGTTGTTGATGTGTGGATTAGATCAAGTTGTTGTTGCTGATGTTAGGATTTAGAAGTACCTAACTTTTAGATTCAGATTTAGATCTAGATCTTGGTTTGTTTTTACTTGAGGTTAAGAGCATTTTTGGTATTAGTGTTTGGTTTTCTACCTTAAGGCAAAGTTATAAAATAGTTACATGGTACTATTGTTGAGATAGATCCTTGATACTCTAACTTTATAGTTTCATGTCCTAAAATTGTTAATTGTGCTTAAAAGTCCTTTTATAGTATATGAAGGTGATTTGTAAGTATAAGAGTGATTTTTGAGTGGCAAATCAGATTTGAGATACTTAAATAGATCATCAAACTTATGAGAAGTCTTCAAAGTGAAGTTGAGAGTGTTTTTGAGAGTAAGAATACTAGTTTGTTTATAAAAAAGGTTTTTGTGATTCTAAGGCAGCAATATCTTTTTGTTGATTTTGAGAGCATTAGGACTTCTCTTTACAATCTTTTTTGATACAAGTCTTCTTTAGACATGGCTTCAAGTGAGGGTGAAGGATTGAGAGTTATTGAGAATTTAAGAGGTGAGAATTTTTATCATTGGAAGATAAAAATAGAGCTTTTGTTGGCATCTTTGGATCTTTGGAATATTGTAGATGAAAGTAAAGAGGCTCCCATCATAGATGTTGATATGAATGAGAAGAAGGAATTCAAATGTCGTAAAAAGAAGTCTTTTGGATTGATTGCAACCAATGTAGATGAAACCAACTTCTCCCACATTATCTCTTGTAAAAGATCAATAGAAGCATGGAAGACTCTTTGCAACATCTATGAGAGCAAGAACTTGTTCAACATCATCTATATAAGCAAGAAGTTCTTTACTTGTAAGATGGAGGAAGGTAAAGACCTCATGACTCATGTTAATAAGGTAAAGGCTCTTGTACACCAACTAGCAATTGTTGACAAGCCTTTAGAAGAAAGTGATATTGTCATGATCTTGTTAATGATCCTTTCCAAATCCTATAACTATGTTATTGTGGCATTAGAGTCCATTAAGCTAAAAGAGCTTACAATGGACTATGTGATGACAAGACTTATCTATGAAATAACCAAGAAGAAAAAAAAGGAGCCTCAAAGTGAAGATTCAGCAGTCTACTCACGTCAAGGCAAGGACAATTATCCAAATCAACAAGGTAATGTCAAATCTTGCTTCATTTGTGGCAAAGTAGGCCATTTTATTCGAAATTGCTAGAAAGGCAAAAAGATGGAGAAAGAGAATGCAAATAGTATATAAGATAAATTTGGAGGACAAGATTATGCATTCACGGCAAGATATGGGATCTCTATAGCTACCATAATAAGATGGATTATGGATTCAAGTTGTTCTAAGCATATGACACCTTAAAAATGTTCATTTGATACTTATGAGGCTATTCCAGCATCAAATATGGTATTGGAGGATAGTGGCACATGTAAAGCCATTGGAATTGGCTCTATTATAGTGGCGGTGGTTGTGAATGGACAAACCAATAGGATCAAATTTATAAACGCCCTTCATATGCCTAAGATGAAGCAAAATTTATTTTCAGTAAGTAAATGAGCATGCTTTATGTGCAAAACTTTGATTATGACTTTTGGATAGAAGTTGTGGTAAATGTAGTGTGTACAAGAAACATATGTCGAACAAGTGCTCTTGCATCAATGATACCACAAGAAGCTTGGAGTGAGAGACAACCTTACATTTCTTGTATGAGGACTTTTGGTTGTATTGCATATGCCAAAACACTAGATTGTATGAGATCCAAACTTGATGCAAAAGGTACAAAGTATGTGTTTCTTGGTTATTGTAAAGGTACTAAGACATAAAGGCTAATATGCTTGGAAACCAAGAAGATCATCAAAAGTCATGATGTTGAGTTTTTAGAGCACAAGAATGTTTATGAGCACTTAGAGATGTGTCCAAGTGGAAGTAATGGTGTGTTTGTGGACACATCTTTGAATTCATCAAAGAAACAAGGAGATGAAGACAATGAAGATGATGAAGATGAAAAGCCAAAGAAAGTTGAAAGGATGAAGGCTCCTACAATTGCTAGGACCAACAATGAAAGAAATGAAGATGTTAAAGATTGAGATGATCATAATGATGAAGAGCACCAACTATTGAGTAAGAAACGTCAAGGTTTAAGAGAGAAGAAGGTTGAAAAAGAACATGGAGTGCAACAAGGTGAATGTTCTTCTACAAGTGAAAGGAGGCAATGTGGTGAATAGTGGAAAGATCACATCTTCCCTCAAGTAAGTGAAGAACATGTAAATGTTGCTCTTCTTGCTGATCCATTATCTTTATGTAATGCTATGAAGTGTGAAGATGCAATCAAGTTGGAAAAGGTTATAGAAGAAGAGTACCAATCTCTTATAGACAATGGTACATGGCAATTGGCGCCTCTTCCAGTAAATCGATCTAGTGTTGGTTGTAAGTGGATGTTTAGGACTAAAAAAAATGCAATGGGTGTGGTAGTGAGGCACAAGGCAAGATTAGTTGCCAAAGGATATTCACAAGTTGGTGGAATTGATTTCAATGAGACTTATGAACTCATTGCCAAATTCACCACCATTAGGACTATTGTAGCAATTGGGGCAGTAATGGATTTGGATATATACCAAATGGATGTGAAGACAACCTTTTTGAATAGAGAATTGCAAAAAGACATCTATATGGACCAAACTCAAGGATTTGTACAACAAGGCAAAGAACATCTTCTATGCAAATTGAAGAAATCTTTATATAAAGACTCACTCATGTATGCAATGGTAGCTACAAGAGTGGATCTTGCGTATGCAGTGAATGTTGTAAGCCAACACATGTCTAAGGCTGGACCATTGCGTTAGACAATGGTAAAGAGGATTTTGAGGTACTTAAAAGATAGAAAAGACTTCAAATTGTACCTTGGTGGGAAGAACATTGATTTACAAGGTTATTAAGATGCATATTGGGTTGGAGATACAAATGATATAAGATCCACAATAGAATATGTGTTCTTCATTGGAGTAGAAGCTATTTCATGGAATTGCAAGAGAGAGCCTACCATTGCAAGATCAACAATAGATACAAAGTACATGGCAGCAAGTCATTGTGCAATGGAGGCATGTTTGATAAGACAACTCTTAAAAGACATTAAACTAGTACAATTAGAAGCAATTCTAATTATGTGTGACAATCAAGGATGTCTTGCATTTACCAAATATCCAAAATACCATTCAAGGACCAAGCACATTGATGTTCAACATCATTTCATATAAGAGAAGATTGAAGATGGAATAATAGATATAAAGTATTGTGCTACAAATGATATGCTTGTTGATGTGCTTATAAAGGCATTAGTGAAGGATAGACATCACGAGTTGATACAGAGATTATGATTGAAAGCTTTTTGAAAATTAGCAAAGTGAGAGTGTTGAAGATCAACAAGTAACTTGCTTATTTACAACCACATAGAGATTAAACATAGTATGTTGCTAATAGTCAAAAGATAGCAAAGAATTAAAGGAAGTTATTGTGATGGCACCAAGGATTTGTACGTGGCGGCTAGGTTAAGAAAGAATCTAGGATTTAGTTGGATGAAGTAGAAATGGATGTAATATCAAAAGGATGGAAGTTGCCTAGTTGGTTAGCAAACCACCACTTATAAGTAAAGAATGTTGGAAGTAAGAATTATCTTTCTCCACACTTCTCTTAGAGTACAATCCTTGATGATGGTAAGTGTTTGTAGCTTTTAGACTTCTTTTCTTCAATAGTTGAACTATTAGGTGAAGGTTTGATAAGGTGATATGTTGGAACAAAGCAAACCCTCCACCTTTAAAGTAAGGGACCCACAATCTAAAATATCATGAGATGAGGCTGGAAGTTCATACACCTTGTTGATCTCTCAACAAACTAAACCCTTGTATGAAGGAGACCCATCTGTTACTAAACGAAAGTCCAAACCTGAAGGCGCTCCGGATGAGTATATTTAGAGTAAAATTTGCTAACACCCTTCACACAGACACACGCTCCGCTCTGTCTCTTTCTCTTAGCTGGAGCTGAAAATTCCGGAGCTCATTCCTCACGTAAGATTAGTGCCTAAGGCTTCATCATTAGTGTCTCATTTGTTTCTTATCTGACTAAAGCTCTGTGAGATGGTCACTGACAAATCCCTCCAATTGTAAAGCACGCCACTCAGAGACGTCAGTAGTATGTTACGGTGCGGACTCTTCTCGACAATTTTTGTGGGAGAGTACGTGGGTTCCAAGCAGCTTAATATGATTCCCACATCTACTTACATTCGGAAACGGAGAAAAGCTATTGTTGATGGCGTCTCTGGTAGCTCGGAAGTTGGTTTCTCGGATTCGAAACCCGATTTTGCTGAGTTTCGGCATGTCGCTCTACAGGAAGTGGTGAATGGGGTGAGGAAGCCGGATTCTAGACTAAGAGATGGGAAGAAGGTGAAAAAGGAATATGGGGTGAGGGGAGGAGCTCCTGGGGTGCACAAGCTTGAAAGTGCTCGTAAAATTGAGATTTTCAGCGGTGGCGTCGATGTTGAGAGAGAAACGGCAAAAGTTGCGGGTGATACCGCAGCAGTGGAGGTAATTTGAATATATTTGTTGTGGGCTGTCCTTGGCTGAATTGCAATAGGGCTAAATTCTGTGCTTATGATCTTCTATTCTTCAGAAGCAAGGGTCAGAGTACATTTACGAACACATACCTTCGCTTCTTTGGGAACGGTTTCATATGTTTTACATTTTCTGGGGCAAATAATCTTGATTAGCTCGGGCTCGCTCTGCCGAAACTCCGAGACCCTTGAGGTCACACTGAAATTCTCTGTTGGCCCAGTGGATACGTTATGAAGCTAACTAGTCTGTTTGATTGATTGCAGGGAAGGTGTGAAGCCCTTCTGAAGGTTATGGACGACATGGCATCGGCGCTTGATCCTCTCAGTTTCAACTCCTCAGTTGCATTTGTGTAAGTCATTCCTCTATGATCCTCTCTCATTGTTTTCCATTTTCTGTAGCAGTGTCAGGTGCCAGTTCTCAACGTTATTTTTCGACCTTGCCATGGAGCACCGTAGAAGTCTTTGTTAGATTCTGCCGCAGAGGTTGCGTCTGTAATTTCAAGGGGTTTAAGCATTCTGAATTTGTAACATTAGGGAATCCTTGTGGCCTTTTGATCACGAATACGGAGAAATTTGATCGGTGGAATAGATGCTAGTGTCTTAATCCTTGAACCATTCTATGCCTCTGGAAATGATACGACAGTAGTGAGATGCTTGTTAACCTCAAAGCGAGTAGTGACCATTCTGAATTCTGTTTGTGTAGATACAATCCGCTTCATTATGCAAGGAAACCTCATGAGGAGTACGTGCGCAAATATGGTGTGGTTTCTTCTTCTTGTTGTGAACCTCCTGAAACCCAATTCATTGTTTAGTAGGGATTTGGAACTTTTGCAAAGTTTTACCAAAGCCACTCTCTCTTTTACTAAATAATTTTATGAACTTACTTTTCAAGTGTCATACTTGAATCACAGGGGGCAAGGAAGTAGAGTGCTTGCTTGTGGGTATGAACCCAGGTCCTTTTGGAATGGCTCAGGTCTGATTTTCCCTCAGGCTCATTTCCAAGGTTTTCTATGAGTATCTTCAATGTTCGACTCCGCAGTTTTGGCTATGAAGTACTGAAATCCTGATCCAATCATGGTTTATTGATGTGTTAAGACAGGAGTACCATTTGGTGATAGTGTGCTTGTTCGCGAATTTCTCCACATAAGTAGCGAGGTAAATCATGTCCCAGTTCGTCGAGCATTTTATTCGGAGTTCTTCTGATGGACTCAATTCTTAGTTGACATTACTTAATGGACTGGGGTGCAATGCAGGTTGATCCTCCGGAAATAATGCATCCCAAGAGGCCCATTATTGGTCTGAACTGCCCTCGCCGTGAGGTCCCACACTATCTTCACTCTCTAATTATGCTGAACGCTATTTGAGTTTTGTCCAGAACTTTTGTGAGATAACATCGACACATTGGAAATGGTTCTGATCTCTGTATAACGTCATTTTCAGCTTGTTATAGTGATTCCATTTCATAGCTTATGAATTATCTAAATATGTTAACCCTTGTTTGTTCCAATTTACATTACACAAGATATTTAATTGTGAACAGGTGAGCGGACAACGGCTATGGGGTTGGGCTCAAGCTCGGTTTGGTACAGCTAGTGCATTTCTGGATCAATTTTGGATCCATAACTACTGTCCTCTGTTGTTTATGGAGTCGTCGGGCAAGTAAGAAAACTACTCAACTATGCTCTTTGCTTTTATGAAGATGCTTTATGCTCTAAACTTGACGTATCTGCTATTCTTTGTCGTGGCAGCGATGAGATGCTCACCATCGTCAGACTAGTTAACGGATGGAGTGAGCAAAAGCTTTTCACAGTGCTCTCTTCATCTACCTTTCCGGACTTGTTGTGTTTTTTTGAGTTTGGGGTACATTTGCAGGAATCGCACTCCAGACAAATTGAGTAAGGCCGAGAGAGCTTCAATCGCCGATGTTTGTAACGTAGCACTTCGGGCTGTCATTGACATGACAAAACCCCGGTTGATTGTGGGTATAGGTCAGTTCTGGCATTTTTACTCAATTGCTTGATGGAAGTCATGTGATGTTTTCAGGTTCTCATGTGTAAGAACTATCAGAAGAAGTTCCTGTAAAGTATGGACAAGTTTGTGTCCACTCAGTTTAGGTGAGCATATCCCCAGAAGTCACAGATGTTCTGTGGATGAGAATTGGAATGCAGGAAAATACGCGGGTGAGAGAATCAAACAATGTGCTCCTCCTGGGATTCAGGTGGGAGATATTCTACATCCAAGTCCTGCTAATCCGAAGGCGAATAAGGATTGGGACAAACAGATTGAGGCCCAGCTGCGGGCTTTGGGTGTGGATATATAGTCTTTTGTTATAATCCCAGTGGATAGGATTTCTCCGACGGCACGGAATCATGCCATAGTGGTAGGGCTGCCGAATGGCTTTTGATCAGGTTGAACTAAGTGAACTCCTGTTTGTCGATGCTCAGGTTATTTGCGGCTACTTGTCAACACATTTTTATTCAACGTTTCATACTTGATCATTCAACACTTGTTAGAACTGCTTTCATATGTGCATGGTTAATTATTCTTGTGACGCAAGTGCAATGGGTTTTTTGTGACATGTAGAGTTTTACTTGAGTGCGAACATCCTACCTTCCAATCACCTATAAAATACTGGTGACTTGATGCAGGTACCATTCTTTGAGAATTTTTATGCTGATTGGCTGGGTCACGTCGCCAGACCACCCCGTGTAGCACAACAGTGCACCAGAACTATTTCAGCACTCAGATTGAAATGTTCGACAAGGCAAGTTTGTAAAAACGTCTCACGCTATTGCTTTTGGTGATATTCAAACGTAGTAATATTTCGGTGCCCTCGGAAGGCTTTTGATTAGAGCTTAAAACGGCTTTATTATTTACAGTTTAAAAAAAATCAAAAGACGTTTTTTTTAAAAAAAAGATTAAAGCCAACATACAGCCAACATAGATATATTTCTTTTCGAAGCATGTGTCTGATGTTTTTATTCATGTTAAAACATGTATGTGCAAGACCTGAAACTTTGAAATCAGTTGATATAAGATATATGATTACTTTTAATTGTTTTTGATATGTAGCTAAATATAAATATATGTATGTATAAAAATATATATATGGGGACATATATACTTAATGTCTTTCCTCTATTCAAAAAGAAAAGAAAAGAACAATTGAAAAAATAGATATAACAAATAAATATATTTTTTAATATAGTATTGATGAGGGGTTTTGAATCACATAAATTAATGTGTATATATATATAATCTTACAATAATTATGAAAATGACGTAAATATGACAATAAATCATAATTATTTAAAATAAATTTTTATCATGCATGTGTAGTTGGAAAAAAACTATACTTATATTAAGAAAGTGTTTTATAGACATCAATAGGCTATTCACTTGCTTCATATTATTTAGTTAATTAGTATTTTGTCTTTTTAAAGAGCTAATAATTTTTAAAATATTTATTTTATATTTTTGTTATAAGTGTAAATTACAAAGTTTGTAAGAGGCTTTTGTACCTTAAAATCCACTTCAAGTAGTCTTAAAATCTTATAATTTTTTTTGTTTAGTACATAAAAATTGTCATATAGAAAAATTAATATTTGGAGATGGAAGAAAGTGAAAGATGCCATTTTCTATACTAAGTCAATTTTTTAAACTATTCAAAACATTGAATATGAGGTATAGGTTGTATTGCAAGTTTGTATAAACACATATTGTGTTAAATAAAGTAATTTTAAATTAAATTTTTTTCTTTTTTTTAATAAGTTGTATTATAAATATATATTTTATATGTAAAGTATGTTATCTTAATTATAAGTGTTATTTATGTAAATAGAAGTTATTTAATTATAAGTATTATTTAGAAACAAAAAAGTAAAATTTATTCCAATAAAAATATCTATTATAAAACCACATTGATTTAACTTAGTTGTAGTTATTAAATATGTATTTGAAAAACTATTTAAAATAATGATTATCAAAAAAATTAAATCTTATACTATATAATAATAATAATAAAATTTCTTTATTCAACACAATATAATAATAAACTATTCTTTTAACAAGATTCTAAATATGTAAAAAAATCTATCAATTTCAAAAGTTATAGCAATTATTTAAAATATATTTTCAAATATATATACATATATATATATAGAAATTCATAATATGACTTCTTAAATTTTTGTAAAATCCACCTCTCTTGAAGGTAATTCTAGTGCAAATTTTGAAGAACACAATCATTTATGTCATGTAGGAAAAAATACATTCTTTTATAACATCTTGACTTGATTCATTTAAATATAAAAACTTATTTAGAGATCCTTATCAATTTTAACCAATCACAAGCTATTGCCTCTTGCCTTCTCTCCTCAACCCAAAACCTCATCACTTTACTCCAAGAATCAAAAAAAAAAAAAAAAAAAAAAAAAAGAACATAAAAAAGAAAAAAGAAAAACATAAAAAATCCTCGAATATTTGACTCATTCAATTCCATCCTGGGGTCCTTCCAAACCCATTCATCGATGGGATGAAATTTTACTCTGCCCGCCGGAACTCAGCGTAGAACGGGCAATGAAGATTAATTATCCAACCGTGATGAGCTGGCGTCACGAGGGCCAGGTAAAAATAATTATCTACCCGGGGCAGCGAGCTTCGCGGGGGGCGGGCAGAAATACTTATCTGCCCGTGGGCAGCGGGCTGTTCGACGGGCTGTGCACGAGGCAAGGCAGAGAGAATCAGAGAAAGCTCGTGAGCGTGCGTTGGACCGAGTCCTCCCGGAAGACGAGGCCATTGCTTCAGTGTGCATCACTGCGCTGGTTTTTTCGGAATCCTTTACCTCAGGCCCCGTCTCAGGTGCTGGATAGCCACGTTTGTTTCTCACCCACATGATAATTCTTAACCATTGGACTTAATCCTCAGGTGTTTGTTGCACACTCTGGCATTGCACATTGGAAGAATTAGGGTTTGGCCATGGTTTTTTGAAAGATTGGGGTGTGGGGTTTCGTTGCGGGCCGGTGCCGTGTGAGAAACGATGCGTGCTGAGTACGAAGAGTTATATTGGCGGGGTTTGGAGCCGCAGGATGTGTCATCGTAGTCGATTCGAGACGAGGTGTTGGATTACGGCCGATTGGAGCGTCCTTGTTGGTGTTGTTGCGGAAATCCATGTCTGTGTTGGGGACGGTGTCGCTGTCGCCGTAGAAAAGGAGGAGGATAGGGCGGTCGGCCGAGAATTGATTCGTTTTATCGGAGGGTGTGTGTTCATGCTCGGATGATTATCTTGTGATGCTCATTTTGATCAGGCTGGTTATCGCTGTAGATTAAGCTCTTGTGAGGATCAAGAATTGCATTCTTGTTTTTGTAAATCGTCATTGAATTCATAATGTGCACAAGATTGTCGGTTCAAGGTTATTGAAGTGCTTGCCTCACTTGTGATTGAGTCGTGTTAGTGGTGAATTGATTCGAATCTGTTTTCCCTCTAGCTGAACCGTGCTATTCTTGTGTAACAAGAAAGAACTGTAAGGGTTTGCGAACTGGCTCTTTGTGACAGTATATGAATTCGTGAAGACTCTTGCTTTGGTCTCGTCTTCGGCACATATAAGGCAGACATGGGGAACCCATTGAAGGAAGTCGAGTTAGGTGGATCAAAGAATCCAGAAAAATCCCAGTCGAATCTCCCTGGAACTTTGATTGAATCTGCCGAGGTACCCCTGCTTTCTGAACCACCTCAAAATGGTGCACTTGATGGTTCATCAGACGTAAATGAAGTCCAGAAAAGTTCACTAACTTCTGTCGTCAGTAATAAAGAGTTCAAATCCTCGAGTGACGACCTCAAACAGTTCGAGGAAAAACTTGACAGTAGTCTTGACAGTTCCTTAGCAACAAATGACCACCCTGATAGAGGGGATGACCAGGCTCCTCTTCTGTCGAAACAATGCCGGAGCGATGAAGTCAATGGAGCACTGCCTCCGTCAAGTGGTGCAGCTATTGCAGCTGATGATGCTGTTGTATATCCTCCGGAGGTCATTAAGGAGATGGAAGTCAAGTATACAGCATACGTTCGCCACGATGTGTATGGTAACTGGGGCATGCGTGAGATCTGTTACTGGGAGAAGTTTAAACTACTTTTGGCTCTCGTGGCACTTTGCCCCATTAGGGTATTTTTGCTCTTTTCGTGCTTGGTATTATTCTATGTAATTTGCAAACTGTGTACATACCGAGTAGCGGCTTCCTCAAGTGATGAAGGTCAGGAGAGTTTTGCGCACATGACGGGGGTCAGGCGGACTGTCATTGTACGCTCGGGTAGGTTTCTTGCGCGTGCAATGTTGTTCATATTTGGGTTCTACTATATTCCTGTTTCGTATAGGACATCAGCGACACAGAACCTTCACTTAGGTTTGGAGGATTCTGAAGAGAGCAAGGTAAACATATGGCTTAACCAAGATGCTCGTTATTTTATTCTGTATTCTCTATTCATTAATATCCACTAAATGACCATGAGAACGGTTTGGTAAAATTAATGATTTTGATCCTAGGCATGAAAGGTCAATACAAAGTGTTCTTCGGCTGTTTGTAATTTTCTTGTTAGTACAACACATCTCAATGGGAGCAACACTGACATTTTGCAGGAAAGTGAAGAGAAGAAATCGGAGTTTGTTCGTCCTGGAGCTATTGTCTCAAACCATGTCTCCTATTTGGACATACTATATCACATGTCAGCTTCCTTTCCCAGTTTTGTGGCTAAAGTAAGCCACGGTCTTACTCCTTGCTTGGCTTTTTGATCCTAGGATTGCGCTGTGGTACTTTGTTTGGACGATTCGTATTTTTTTTGAGCTTTCTGATCAGAATCTGTACCAGTCTAGCGTTTCTCGTACTTGACGCAGGGTACTGCAATGCGTTTGTGTTGCGCATCCTTTGTAGTGGATGTTTAAAGTGTCAGCTTCAAACCTCAACTTTTAGTAGCCACAAGAGAGCATATTGCTTTATGTATGCATTTAGTATTAATTTAGTTATAGAAGTTTGTTTGGTTAGGACTCTGATGATTTTTTTCCAAATGGAATAAGCCGAGATGTAAGATAGCACCTTTTGACGCTGATGGTGATAAGCACTGTAATTATTGCTAATGGATGCACTGATTCTTGTCACTAATTCTTTCTCATATGCATCTTCTCAGTTCACTAGCTTTTGCATCATTTTATGTATCTACCTTATTCGTTGTGTGGATTGTGCATGTATCGGTGGAAAGAGATCAGTGGCGAGGTTGCCTCTAGTTGGCTTGATTAGGTCTGTCTTTCTTTATCTTTTACCTTTAACTCATTTTGTATTCATGTTCATTTTTGTGTTTAAGATCATTAGAAGCCTTGGAACTGCTTTAGGATGCATAGTGCTTAATCTTAATTCCTCTTGTTCATTGCCAGTAATGATGCACTCATAGGCTGTAAGTGTGCTTGTTGAGGTCAAGAATGGTGGGGTCGGAAACCCAAATTTTAATATGTGGCACAACGATGTTGGTGAAGTTTATTGACATATGAAGTTGGACCTTGTATTTTGCAGCAAATGCTTGGGTTGCGTGTATGTTCAACGTGAATATAAATCTTCCGATCACAAAGGTGTATCAGGTAACTGCACCGAGTTGCAACACTCAATCATATGTTTAACTCACTAGATTTTGCCCATGGGTTTCATCAAGCAGTGGTGGATAGTAGTTGGTTCTGGAAAGAGTGCAAACATGGGTATTTCATACTATGATACCGTTTCAGTTCATTTTACTAACAGTTGAGGACATGCAGTTTCTTTCTCATGCTAAATTGCTGTGCTGATATCAGGAGTTGTCCTCGAGAGATTGCAAGCTGCGCACAATGATTTAAAGGCTCCTGGTCTTCTTTTGTTTCCTGGTATAACATTCTCAATGCCTTGCTTTAAAATAAACAATCTTTATGTAGAATTGAATTTTGTTCAACTTAACATGTTACTTCGAACCAATGTGGATATAAACACGGGGTTTTGAATCTTGGGTTTTGGCCATCCCCAAGTGGTGGATCTTGTAAGTTCTCGTGACGTTCTTCAGTGCTTGCAAACTTGTTTAATCTGGCATTCTATAATGCAGAGGGTACTACAACCAACGGTGATCACATCTTGCCATTCAAGACTGGGGCATTCCGCGCTAAGACGCCTGTGCAGCCTGTGATCCTCAAATATCCCTTTAATCGCTTTAGCCCTGCCTGGGACACGATATCGGGGGTAAGTTGGTGTTTTTCTTTTCCTAATTTTTTATAAACTGGACTTGTCTGTTTACTATTAGATTAATGTTATTCTCCCTTCATACATTTGGAATACTTGTTGTCGCTTCTTTTCTCTGTTGCAACCGGGTAGGCAACGTTCCTTGCAGCTGGTATTTGTAAATGTTGTCTATGCTTTTCAAATATGTTTACATACAGACAGCTCAGTCGCGTGCAGATCTAATCTGCTTCTGTGTTCGGGTTTATTTTTTCAGGTTCGACATGTGATTCTTCTTTTGTGCCAGTTCGTGAACCATCTTGAAGTTACCCACTTACCTGTGTATCGTCCAACAGAAAAGGAATGTTCTGATCCCAAGTTATATGCCAATAATGTACGCACAGTAATGGCTGCGGAGGTGAGACAGCTTGCATGTGGATCATGTCTATGAAACTATGAGCTGATCTTCGAAAACTGTTTTACATCTACACGATTGTGTGTGCCTTTGCCTTAATATAATACTTACAAACACAGATACCGTTGGTAGGCAATGGGACAGTGTTTGTATTTTTCTAATGTAATGATGATCGTTTTGATTGCAGGGTAATTTTATCATGTCAGACATAGGTTTGTATGAGAAGCGTATTTTTCATAATGCCCTCTTGGGAAAGCCTATGCCAGTTGCACCAGCACCTGAAGGTAACTAAACTATCTCTTTTGTTCAACGTATTTAGGTGTCAGTCAGATTACCCTCAGCGTGTACGACAGCAGTGGGAAACTTGGTTGTTCTCTTATTACATCAATGTTTTGGGAAATCTAGGAAACCTGGGAGGAAATCTATCTTATCCTGTCTGTTAATGTTAGGTTCGCAAGTATTTAGTCTCAAGAAGGTTCCTCCTTTGTTTTATTCGTTAGAAGGATCTGTACCTTTGTTTTGATCGCTCATCTTTTGAATTTAAACATGCCAACATGTCGAGAAAACCTGACACCGTTTTCTTGATCAAGCCAGGGAATGAGATGAAGTAGGTGGTACTAAATATGCACTTTCACGATGCTGGGGGTTGTTGAAAATCAACAGCACCACTTAAACATGCAGGGTTCGGTTTCAGTGGAATCATACAAAAACGTTTGGTTTTGACTTTGAAGATTTCTCCAACACTAATAGTAGTTCGTGTGAACTCATTTTTCTTTCAATGACTTCTCTTTCTATGTGGTTGCGTATTTTTCATGTTCTATATCGTGTGGCTGCAAATTTACTTGTTTCCAACCCGTTCGACATATGTTTTGTAACCGAAGAGTGGATGGAGGAGACCTAAGGAGTTGTCTTATCCTCGATGACTCGTATGCAAGACATGGATATTAATGTTAGTAACTGTGGTTCAGAAACTTAGGATTGGGGAATGGTTTTCAGGAATTCATTCCTCTAACCGTTGCCTTTTCTTTTGGTTGGATGCATCCATTCATGGCTGTGATTTGAATGCGAGTATCTTATCACTTTGTAATCAAATAAACAAATAAATGGTTCACTGTTGTTTGCATCGTTGGGGTTTTTTTTTTTTTTTTTTTTTTTTTTTTACTCATGAAAATATATTGTGCTGTGAGGTTGGTTTTAATTTGTATAACTTTTCTTTGGTACATTGCTATCTCATACCAAAGGCAATTATATCTTATCTCTATTTTATCAGATACTGAGGTCATGTGACCAGCTGACAACTAATAGTACAACTTTTACTAATCACATCCAATTGACCTTTCTTCATACTGTAAATATATTTGTAATCAATTTAATAAATATACATCAGTTATTTGCATAAAAGTCAAATTGATATGCCGGAACGATTCCTCGCTGACATGGCTAGAGTTGTCACGTGCTTGTGCCGGAGTGGTTATCGGGCATGACTAGCCCTCGAAATCTACGCCTCGACTGGACAACACTTACAGGGAGACAATTTTCGAGCATGGATGGCAAATTGGAGGCAATTCTTTGATCTAGGCCCCCGCTACCCACGATAAAAATTATCGGGTAACCACTCAATCACAAGAGGTACGCACCCCATAATGATGGTAGACATTCAACGCTAGACATGATCATACACAATAGTATGTGCCGGACTTGCTAAGCCTGTCCAACAAAAGGTTATGTCCCAATCGCCCTCAGCTAGTGGTTGAATGAAATGTGTTAATGCATTTGATGTAACACACCTAGGTGCTTGGTCTTAACCCCAGAGGGTATTTCACGGTTATCGGGCATGACCCAAAATCATTTGGACCCTGCCCGCGCTAGTTCGAATTCTGCTGAGCTCGCCTTTTGGGGTTCCCCACGCCTGCCTGAATTTTCCATACACGTTCAGATTTTTGTTTCACGCAATGCCTTCCTTCAGCTCTCGCTTCCGGACATCGCTGCCCCCGCCAGGGATTGCTCAATGTCTCGTCTCTCATGTATTTCGGCGTTCTCTTTCGAGCACATCCTGCGCCTGAGCACTTGCCACTCCTCATATTCACCACAGTCAGAGTCGCCTATTTTACAGCCATTTACAACACGTCACAGTCCAGGATTTTGTACAAGGCTGGTGCCCTACACCTGCAAGTCTACCTGCTAACCTGGAGTATACTGGTGATTCTTGTAAGTAGTTATATGTTGAAGGCGCCTGCAGACATCTACGCTCAAACACACAAGTGATATTCAAGTATTTGATAGATGTTTGAGAACATTACAATTTGTAGGCATAGAAGTAAAGATGACATTTTTATTCTATGTGATGATACAAATTGATGGTGGCTTATCATAACATGAAGGTGGCTTGTTGTACCATGAAGTTAGCTTATTATCACATAAAGGTAACTTAATTTGACATGAAGGCCAATGATGTTGTAAACATGAATTTTGGAGGGACAAAATTAAAACATGTAGTTGAGTACATGTGAAGTTGATTGAGTTTGGTGTATCTAAACTTAAAATAAATACTAATGGCATTCCAATAGGAGATTGGCAAAATTGAAAACATGGATATATAGCTCTAGAAGCAAAGAAGCCAAATAACAAACCATTTATAAAATTTGATATATTTAAAGTAGATGTTTTTAGCTATAGAATAATCTAATGTGAAATTTTGACGAGAAATAGAAGCAATTTTGATGAAAGGAATATTTCAAAAGATATAAATAATAGAATGTAAAGTTTATAAAGTACAAATTATGACTTAAGGCTTGCTTAACTAATTGGAGAGTGTTTCAATATTGATAAGTCTTCTAAAAGACCTTTATTTTTAAAAATTCTCAAAAACTTAAAAGAAACAAAAAATTGCTATTAGAAGATCTACTTATGAAAAATGCAATGATTATGTTGAATCTCTATACTTGGTTATAAAAAGATTATTTATTAAATTTCATTCAAATGCCTCAAGTAAAAAAACATATACTAAGTATTTTCAAATTTATTTGTAAATTAGATGAATTAAGACTACGGACATGGCCATGACAGTATATCAAATATCATCTAATCAAATATAAATTTTATATATTATGCATTAGTGTTAATACTTTTATTTGAAAATTTAAGTAGCATAAGAAAAATTAACAATGAATATGGATTAATGTAATTTTTTAATTTTTTTTTTGATAAATCAAATATTAAATATTTTTAGCCAAAAAGTGATAGACTTGATTGTTTTTAAAAACCTTAAATCAATCTTAATAAAATCTTGAATAAATTCTAAATAAATTTTAATTAATTTCTAAACAACTCTTAAAAAATCATAATAAAATCTTACATAAATATTAGTTAAATTTTAAAACAATTCTAAATAAATCTTGATAAATAATAAAAAAATAATAATTAAATATAATATAATTTTCTAAAAATATTTATAAAAATTTTAAATTTTTTTTGATACATTCTAAAAAGCTTTAATCAAATTTTATTAATAAATCCTATATAAATCTTATATAATATTATTAAAAAAATTTAATATCAATAATTATTATAGAAATCTAACAAGAAGATATTCAAAATATTCTTAGAATATTCTATTAGGTTCTATCAGGTTCTAGAAGATGCTCAAAATATATTAATAGAAGATTCTAAAAAGTTTTCTAAATTTTTTTAGAATATTCTTAAAATATTCTAATATATTCTAAAAATTTCTAAAAAAATTAAAGAAGTTGTTTGAGAAGCTTATTAGGATTGCTTTATCTTTGAGCAACATAAAAAATTTCTTGATAAGCTTTTTAATACCTAGTATATATTGGAATTAAGACTAAGGGGATTTTCAATCTCAACAATACATCTTTTGGAGCTCTAATTTACTTCTTTTGGTGTTGATCTTATACTTATTTGATTTAATTAAGTTTTTGGTAGTTTTTTTCTTAAAATTATTTTATTCAACTTCATGTTTCATCTTCTATATAATATATCTGTAATAATTTATCAAAATTATCTTCTTATTAATACTAGAATTTGATCCTTCTTCATAGACAGTGGACTATCTTTCTTCTTAAAAACATCTAAGCACTTTAAAAGTTACAGAGTAGCTTCTTTTAAATTGATATTTTTTAATTAATTAATTAATTTTTTAGGATGGCTAGAGGTGAAGATGTTAATATGGTTGAATCTTCCAAATCCAAGTTAGATATTATCATGAATATGTTGAATGCTTTATTACATAGAATTACAAAAATTGAAGAATATTTTGTAATATTTGATAGTAATGCAAGACCTAGAACAATTCAACCTATAATGCAACCACCTTCTCAAGCTTCTATATCCAAGGAGGTGGTGGCACTTGTACTTCAACAAGAAAATTTACCTATTCAACAATATAAGGAGCCTCAAATTAATCTTCCAAAAAATTTTGATAGCACATGCTTTAAGTTTCAAAATTTTATTAACCAAATTTGATTGGTAACATTTCTACAATCTAAGAGCTATTAAACAATGGAGTTATGAGTTAGTTTAGTTAGAACCTTATTCATAAGATAAACCTTATGTTAATTTGCTCTTTTATTTGAAAAGAAATCTCTAATCTTAAGCAATTTGAAGCTTTTTTAGAAGCATTTGCAAAGGCATTTGGAAAACATGACAAAATTCAATGCATAACAACAAAGATTTATTCATTATATCAAAGATTATACTTTGTATTAATTTATGTATTTGATTTTAGGTGATTGGCTTATGACATCAATTAGAATAATAAGCTTTTATATGTCAATTCTATTAGGGATTAAAAAATGATATAAAAGATCTATTATTATCATTATTAAATCGATCCAATTGATTAGACTATAGTAAGAAGTAGGAGGGGGGCTCTTGACAAGCGTCGTGTTTTCTTTTGTGTAAGCAACCATGTATGTATATTTTGATAGATTAGTTGTGAATGCTTACTTATGTTAGAATACAATGGCAATTGAGAAGACTAAGAGGCAGTTGAATAGGGAGAGAAACAGCGCAATGTAAGGTGCAAGGATGAGTTGCTACCATTGGGGTGTATTATTGTGACTAACATGGAGCCGATCCAATTGGATGTTTGTTGGACTAAAGAGAAGTAGCAGGATTTTTGAGGAGTGCATAGGCATGGATTTTTGCGTATTTCGCAAAACTTACCACCAATTGACGTTGTGCTGGTGGAGGTTAGGGTTAAGGAGAAGTAGATGGTAGAAAAAGAGAAGGTGGCGAACATGGTGTCTGAGAAAGCAAGGATGGAGACCGATTGGAAGAAACGGCAAGAGTGGCTGTAGATAGAGGTAGCGATGTTGCAGACTAAACTAGCCTCATTAGCAAAGGAGGCCAATAATTTAGTGCAGATCAATATGCCAATTTCATCGACAACATTTTTAGAGATATCTTTGAAATCGACAAAAGAATGGCAGAAGATGTTGGAGGAGCGCGATAATCAAATTACCCGTCTTGAGTCTCAAGTATGGGAATTGGGTTTGTTGAATGAAGATCTGACGGCACGTTTGGATAGAGAACCCTCGATCACCGAGACAAATGATGAAGATGTAGTAGAAGAAGAGGTCACCAATTCAAAGGGTGGTAAGCTAACGCCATTGATTGAAGAAGCCAACACTGCTATGTCTTTATAAGTTGAGGCTATATAATGTTTGCGAGGATGCTGCACAATTAGGAGTGGAGCTATGTAAAATATATAAATAAATTTTGTGGTAAGTTATTGGTTGGTTACTGAGAACCTTAAGAATTAGACTTATGATTAGGTAGTTTAGTTGGTAACAGTAGGTTGTTAGTGGAACAAATGGTTAAGAATTTAAAGGTTCATAACCTTTGGAATCTGCTGGCCGATGGTCCAACTTTTGGTAGGATAAAGAGGTTGAGAAAAGAGAGATTGGTGCCAGATTGTGAGAGTCGTAAGCTAGAGTAAGCTTGGTGCTACATCTTTATTTTTTTTACTTTTATTATTTGCTTATGAAGAATTGTGATTGAGAGAAGTATTGTTGAAACTGTGATTAGAATATTATGGAATATGACTTTGGACTGACCATTTTGGAAAAAATCTGTGACCTTGAGAATTGAGATTATTGAATTGTGTTGTATTAAGTGAAGATATTGAATTTTGTGTAATGAATTGAAAAATTGAATATAATAAGTAAGCTGGAGATCAGTAATTGAATATATATAAACTGCAAAGAAAGTAAGTGGGAGATGAACTGATAAGAATATGGAAGTATTGTTGAATTGATAGTAGTAGAATGGATTATGTATTGAATTAAGATAGAAGTAGTAAGCCTTTGTATTTTGTAGTTTGATAATTGATTTCAGATAGCTAGAGTATAGTCAATTGTGACACTAACAGACCCAATTCATATAATCAGTCTTTCCCTGTGTTTGAACCCACCTCTATTAGTTCAATTGCTTTGGTATATTGAAGCTTGAACACAACAAGAACAACAAGCTTACATGTGAAATTTTAATGCATGTATAAAATTAAAAAAATATAAATTATTTTATATATGTCTTTTTTTGAATTGATATATTACAATAAAGTTATAGCACTATTTCAAGACCGTTACATGCTGATAAAATATTAATTATAATAAGAGTCTAAAAATACTATGTTATATAAGTCTTCTTAAGAATCTCATAAGATCTTATACTCTTCTCGTTTAATGAAGTTCTTGCTAACTTTCTTGTTAAAACTCTTTTGTTCAACTTCTTCTTTGGTTTCTTATATAGTATTTTTATGACAATAATTTATGATTTAATGGTTGATTTTGATTCAATTTTTTATTATTTTTAAACTTCTAATTTACAATAAGTATAAAAAATTTGAAAAAAATATAATTTCTTGATTGAAAAAAAATCTTCATAATTTGATTAAGTATTGGCCATCTTCATTCTTCAATCTTTATATTGACCTTTTAGCATCAATAGTATTATGAACATACATATTTATTTTTATAAGAAGTATTAAATAGAGAGTAAATATAAGTAGATTTGATAATATCTTATGACAAAGCTTCTTAGAAGCTATATAGAGGTGGATTTGATTTTAGATATGTTTATAGTTGATTGATAGGTTAGAAACTTAGCCAACAAATTAGCCACATATTGTATGTGCTGGTAGCTTGTGATACTTGCTAAATAAGTGGTGCATGTGTAGGAAACTTATCTTGTAAGTTAGATACATGTTAGAGGTCTTTTTAGAGTATTGTCATATAGGCTAAGATTGAAATAAATATCAATATAGAAGATCTTTGTAGTGTAGTTATTATGGATGTTGGAGCTATTTGAATAAACAAATATTATTCATCATTTTTTTTATCAATCAAATTTAAACTTTTTATTTAAATTTGACAAAGCCTTGGAGTGACCTTTGTGTTTTTGGCACATAAAAGAAGTAACAAAATATCCACTCTATTGAAGCCTACATCAATTTGGAAAGTATTGGTATATTGGTAATTGAATTGCAGTGAAGATGAGACTCTTAAGAAGGCTTGTATAACATGATATTTTTAGGCTTTCATTGCAATTAATTTTTTATCAGCATGTAGCGGTCTTAAAATAATGTATTAGCTTTGTTATAATATGTCAATTCAAAAAAAGATGTGTATGAAAAAATTTGCATTTGTTTCTACTTAATACATATTGTAAAATTTCATGTTTATATTAAATGTGTTAAACATCAATTTTGTTGAGATTTATATAAAAATATTTTGATATGAGAAGAATTCTCTTGGTATATTTACAAAAAAGTAATGAATTTATAAGATAAAAGTATTAGATTTAAATTTAGTCTAAAAACTTTAAAATTAAGTTTAATATTCTTAAATATTTTGACTTGTAGGAAAACAAACTATCTAATTCAAATATAATTTAATTGATTGATGTACCATATAAATAAAAATTATATAATTTAAATGTTATTAAATAACCAAAATTTTAATAAAAGATGCCAATAAATAATATAATATCAAATGTCTAAATATAATTATATAAAATTTAAAAAAAATAAAAAAAATAAAAAAATTCCTCTAATATCACATTCGGACATCAATGCATTACTATTCAATCATTCGATTGATTATTTCACACATTTTCTATGAAAAAACTGCACGGTCCTAGTATTCTCGTATTCTAGTTGGAACAGCATATCACAACTCCCCAAGCCTCAAGCACACAAATATGGGACCTTACCAACGCCCTTCAAGATACTGGAATATACCCAAAACAGCAAGCAAACCAAAAATCAGAAAGAAACACCTGAAGCGACCACCAAGTTGAGCTAATCTGCACGAACATGGATGAACTAACCAACAACGAACACTAGACTTACGGATGGATAGATGGATGGATGGATGCATAAGGTGTGTGGAAGGAAAGCATCGTCGAGGCGGATTGGGGATGGAGAACCAAGAGTGCCCAACAGTCAAACAATGGGAATCAGGAGGGAATCGAAAAAGGGGAAGGGGAACAAGGAGGGGAACGGAAAAGGGCAAGGAAAGGAGAGGGGAGGGGGTGGGGGTGACTGACTCATCAGTGGCGCCAGAGGCCTCAAGAGGGAACGAGCATTCACATGTGAAGAGGGAGCGAGCATGGGAGGGAGGGAGAATGAATGGGGGTGGGGGAAGAAGATGCATCATCAGATGGTGCCCCAGAGAGAGAGACACAGAGAGGGAGAGGGAGAATCAATCGTATGCGTCGCCGGGGGTGGGGGGCGGAGCACCGACCCGTCCATTCTGGATTTCGCAGCTCCACCACCCATTGCCATCTCAGCCACGAGCTCGCCCACCTCGTCGCGGCTTGTGTCGCGGCTTGCCTGCCTGCCTGCCTGCCTTGCTTTGCCTTGCCTTGCCTGCTGTGGGATCCATCGTGACTGGCTCTTGCCATCGCCGTCGCCTCTTCTTCCTTTCCTCTTCACACGCTCGCTCGCTCGCGCGCTCGTTCGCTCTGTGCGCACTTTGGCCATGCCCCGCGCTGTCTCTGCCTCATTCTTGTCCTGGATCTTTCCGCGCGCCTCGCTCGCTTGTCGCTGCTCCCGTGCTTCCACCCTTGGCACTAGCTCGTGGTTATTGGATCTGGGAAATTCATTTGGGAATTGAGTGGAGTGGAGTGGTGAGGATTAAAAGACGAGCGTGGAGATTTTCTATTTTTTAAAATTTTTTAAAATTTTTTTGGGAGTTGAGGCGGCTGCGGGAGCCGGGGTTTGTGCTTAATTTTCATGGGCGCTCTTCGGGAGAGGCCCATAGTTACGTCCTACGATGAATGCCGTGAAGACGGTTGCGTGCTTTTGCGCAATGGGTTTCACAGCGCGCAGGTGGGTTTACGCTCATCATTGCGTTTTTTTAAATGTAGAGGGGGAATTATTTGTTTATTGTTTTACAATGTGTTGATGGGGGTGGTGGTGGTGGTGGTGGTGGTTTTTTTTTTTTTTTTTTTTTTTGAAACTCTGGGTGTAATTTCTGGGTGCGTTTCTGATGTGACACGCTACGAAACTTGGTGGGTTCGGTGCAGGGGCAGGTGCTGGAAGAGTGGGTGGAAGAGCTTCATGGAGAGAGCGAGGATAGCAGCGATGCATCCACAATTGCGTCCGTGGACGGAGACTCCTCCTGCCTGCCGGATATGATGTCCGCTGTGAAAGTCTTGCTGGATGGGTTGGGCGAAGATGTGAGCCGGGATGGGCTTCTCAAAACGCCGCTGCGCGTGGCACAGGCATTCCAGGGCGCTACGAAAGGTAATCATGTTTTCGCTTGGGGTCAGGGTTTACGGGTTTTGTGTCTTGCGGCATTTTCACCCTGTCTGTTGCAGTCTCGCATGCATCTTATCTTTTTAGAGCATTTGGCTTGGTAGATCGAACTCCGGGAAATTTGAGATCCTTTTAGAGAGCTCAGTGTGCTTTCTTTTCATCGAACTAAGAGGGCACTTTTTCCTTACATCTTAGCTTTATCTCTTAGGGTTTCAATTTGCAGCTTTGAATCGAATATCTCATCTGAGATATAGCTTGGTGATAGCCTGATTGTGTAGGTTTTTCCAAGCTGTGTCAAGATTGCGATAGCTATGCCGCTGGTTTTACTCATGTTGGATGCATTAACTTATTTCGTATTCGTAGTCTTCCGTAGAGTTTCTCTGTGGGAGACAGCAAGATGCAATTAAATCTGTCGGGTTTTCGGGCATCTGTGTATTATAAGGATGGAGGACTGGTGTTAATATGGTTCAATAGAGTGCCCTTTTTGGAAGTGGCGGCGATGTCCTGAACCTCTCTCTTTCTCGGGAATTTCACTCATCGTTAGAAGGGTGTGTATGGTTAAACTATTGATTATATGTGAGCAATGGCGGTTACGTCACACGATTTGATTTATAAAGATTTAGGAAACGTTTTCCTGAGCCGGTACATTGCTTGCCGTTCGATTGGACAAGGTCCTTCATGAGTACCTAGTAGTCCTTACAGCTAAATTGGACGCAGCCTCACTTTGTATGACACGAGAATGTGTCGTGGGTCAGTCTGCAGTGTTGCATTGGATGGGAATTGTGATGCTTGACTATTCCTTGATAATCTTTGCATCTTCTTGAACAAAACTTGGTTGACTGCGTCTGACAATGCAACAGCGAGGGCGCCTAGGCTTACAAGTCAGTAGACTGTTACGTCAACGCATGGTATAGGTTTAGTTTTTTTGTCTTCTTCTTCTAGCTCAATTTTGACTTAGGCAATTCGTAATCGACGGTGCCTGGCCATCCTTATCACACCTCGTTGCTACATTCACTGGAGTTTGGATGGGTCCGTCTGCCAATGCATTGCAGCAGGGGGGCTGGTTGGAGGGCAGTATCTAATAATATGAGTGGTTGGTTGGTGTAGGGTACCGGCAGGCAGCGAAAGACGTAGTAGGAGGTGCGCTCTTCATGGAGCCTGGAACAGGTGGTACTAATGGCAGTGGAGGTGGTTGCGGTGGCATGGTGGTGGTGCGGAATGTGGAGCTTTTTGCTCTATGTGAGGCTTGTCTTTTACCATTTCGTATACGATGCCATATAGCTTACGTCCCCGTTGGAGAGCGCGTAGTAGGGCTTAGCAAGCTGCCGCGTGTGGCAGAGATCTTTGCGAAGAAGTTGCAAAACCCTCGCCGATTTGCTTACGAAGTTGCTTCGTCTTTGACGGAGGCTCTGCAACCAGAGCCATTGGGAGTTGCAGTAGCTGTGGAGAGCTGGCATTTGCAGTGGCCAGGTGTGGCATTCGTGTCATTTGTTCGCACAGGATACTAAAAAACTCCTGGGCAGGCTCAATGGTTTTGTAATACGTTCTGATGATTGTGGATCAGCTCATTTGGATTGGGGTTTTATGCAGGTGTTAAGGAGAATGGCGTTGCGGCCGATCTGGAAAAATACGTGGGTTGGGTGCCTTCGACTGCGTATGCTGGGACAGGCCAGTTTGAGGACAAGAGTGGCGCACTGTGGGAAGAGCTCGTGGCCCTTCTGCAGCTGGAAAGTTGTAGTGCAGACAATCGTTTTGCTCTTGATGCAGAGGCAGATGATCCAAATTTGTCTGGGTGTCCGTTTGCTCTCTTTGACGGAATGCCACTTCAGAATGGAAACAGTGCATTACTTCCTTCATCCTGCAATGGATGCGGTGAACTAGAAATCGTAGGCAATGGCCTCCACAAGAGTAGCTCTACGTTGTGCGTTGAGTTTGACTGCGATGCACCAGCTCGACCAGCAATGGTTGCTGCAGTGGAATCCTTACTGAGGTCCGTAGGAGAAGATCCCAATCGGAAAGAGCTTCGTCTAACTTCTTCGCGGTTTGTGCGATGGCTTTTGACATCCACCCAAGGTAGCCGAGTCGGAACCCCTGGGAACCTAGACTTAACAGCAGGGATACAGGGATTGTTTTGTGAAGCTGATCAAGTTCCGAATGTCGAGCTTGTAGAGGATGTAATGTCCACAGAGTTCAACTTCCCATTCTGCTCGCAGTGCGAACACCACTTGCTGCCTTTTGTGGGAGCAGTGCACGTCGCCTATTTGCCCCAGCGGCGAGGACGAGGGAAGAGGCAGCAGCTGGACAGAAACAGTGTCCAGAGGGTGGTGAGAGGCTACAGTCTTCGGTTGCAAGTGCAGGAGCGCTTGACGAGGGAGATTGCGGAGGCCATCGGGGGTTCGGTGATGGTCATGGTGGAAGCCAGCCACATGTGCATGCTTTCACGAGGTGTGCAACAAGTAGCATCCTCTACCTCTACCTACGCGTCTCTGGGTCTTTTCTCCTCCAATTCTAGACTCCGCACCGCGTTCTTGCAGTCAGTTGCCAAAAGAACTAAATCTGGCTGACCTCATTGCACGAATCATTCTTCTCTCATCTAATTCCATTCAATTTTTCATTTTTTTATTTTCAAAAAAAACCATTCCGTATTTTCATACCTATCCATTCCTCTTAGTGTGTGCCACCATCCATTCAAAAGTCTCATTCCAGCCCTTGGTCAAACTACCCCATTTCCCCATGGAAGGGAAAAAGCGTCGTGCTGAGTTTGATGAGTTGTATAATAGATACTAGCAGAATATTTCTAGGAGTTAGCTTCAGCTGTTGCCGAAACTAGTTTACCATTTTAGCTTATGGCGGAGTTGAACGGTGAAGAGTAAGTCGCAGATTGCATGACATTACTATGATGCATTTTGTAGTTCATGATATTCTTCCGAGAATTCAAGAAGCCTTAGTGACTAACACGAAGTCGCTCTCAGTATACAAGTGCTTCTGATAACCGAAACCAGTCAGATACATTTGTGAGATTGTCTCTTCCAAATTCAGATGTACACGAAAGATCTTAGCATAATGGGTGTCCACAGCTTATTGATGTCATTTCCATTAAAACGTAAACGAAATTTAGCAAGCACTTGTCGGTTTACAAGCACGTGTTCTGTTATCAATATTTAAAAGTCAGATCTTGATTATGTTTATCTTGTAAATGTAGCAGTAGAAAGGATTTATCAGTAATGTTAGATTTCAGATTCCTTAGATATCTGAAGGATGTGATGTTGCACCTAGGGATTGCTGAATTGCAAAATAGCTTTATATCTTATGCTTAACATATCAAAACAAATAAAAAATAATAATAATTGCAACTGCCGTGACTTACTAAATCTTTTGAATATGTTTGATATTTTTATTAAATTATTTAAAATTGAGTAAAACATCTAATTTCTATGTCTAATTTATTATTTAGGCAATCTAAATGTAAATTGAATGTTATATATAAATATATATACATACATATCTATATTTGTACATATACTTGTGTATATTATAAGTACAATTAATAAATTTTTTATTTTTTTATTAATTTATTTTTAAAAAATTGAATGCCTTTTCAGAATTTTTTTATTGAACAAAATAAAATCTAAAATCTTATAATTTTATTACTTGAATTGTGTTTGGAATTTATATTTACATTTATATTTTATAATTATTTATTATTATAAAATTTTAAATAAAATCATTTAATTTATACATATTATTAGGTATATAATTAAGTTTATTTGTATGCATATAATAAAATACAGTATGTATATTACAATAGAATTTTAAAGGTTTTATGTTGTTAAGAACTTGAGTTTCAAAAAGTTTCTTCCACCTTCTGGAAATTTGATTAATTATTGTTCTTTACAACAAGAATTTTGTATCTACAAATGTGTTAAAGCTAAGCTTACCAAAGTTTATTTATATTAATCAATAATGACAATCAAAGACACCTCTCGCTTTTGCTTTAATAAAGTACTAAAGATTTGTATAGTTTAGATAAGTGTTTATGAAGTTCATAAACATCCTACATATGTTCAACTCACATATAAGTTGCATTACCATTACTAAGCTCTAACTAATTTGCAAACACTTCAAGATTTATTTTATCTCATTTTGGTGATTTTTATGGATTCTTGATTGCATAGATAAGCACTAGTTTGAAATTGAAACAAGAAGTGTACATGCAAATAAGCAATATGTATTGAATTCCTTTTTTGATACTATTCTATAGTTACCAATGTTTGACATACAAAAAGACTTGTGTTTCGTTAATTATTGTATTGAATAAAGAATACATCAAATTTATATAAAATTGGAAGGTATTTAGGGTAGTTATACATTGTAATTATATTATAGAAACTAAGAGAGGCTAATGAATATTAAAAAAATTAAAAGTTCTTATATATTGCATGAGAATTCCAAATTTTGAGTCACAAAATTGATTCATTTGTGTGTTTTAGTACAAAAAATGTACTTATGATGTTTAAAGCCACTATTTTAATGAATTAATATAGGAGTTTTGAGATAAATAGCAAAATAATTTAATGTCAATTGCAAGAAGGGGCTCTTATAGAGTTTTTTGAGAAGAAATTCCAAAATAAATATTTTCTTCTTAAACTAGCTAATATAAATTATGATATTTTAATAGTGGTTTTATTGTTGTGAAATGTTTAATTAAACTAGAAGCTAAGAGGGATTGATCCAAGTTAATCTAATAGAAAAAAGTAAAAAAAAAAAAAAAAGTAGAAAAAGAAAGAGTAGGGAAGAAAAGAAAAAAAGAGAGAAGAGAGAAGAGAAAAGAGAATGAAAAAGTAGAAAAAAGAGAAGAGAAGAAGGAAAAGAAGAGAAGAAAAGAAAAAGAAAAAGAAACGGAGAAGGAGAAGAGGATGATGAAAAGGGCGAGAGGCTGTTCAGGAAGGGCGGCAGCCTCTTCGTCGATTGGGGTCTGGGCCGCCCCGGATCCACTCGCTCTTGGTTTTTTTGGTTTTAAATTTTTTCCGTGATGCGTCCGGAGGGCTCTGACTGCTAGGGAGTTCGTCTGTTGTGTTTTTTCCTTATGCGGCTGCGAGGTGCCCGTTGAGACGCTGTGGTACTACAGTCTGTTGGTCAGCGTGGGAGCTTGAAAGCATACAAAATAGTTGGCATGGAGGACGTCGACATCAACATTCGACTGGTGGCTACATGCGGGAAGCCATCCCTTGTGTGTTCTCCTTGGTTTCTTTTTGATGCATTCCTTTTGTGTGAAGTTGTTGGTCTGCGTGCGGCGTAGGCTCAGTTTGGAAATTTGCAAGGTGTACTTTTTGTGGCTGGACCGTGTCGAGGCGGACCTCTTGGTTTTTGCCAAAGTTGGCGTCGAATACCAAGTGTTGAGTGAGCAGGCGGGAAGTTGGATCCGTCTTCGATCAGGTCAACGCTCACACCCACGTCTATATTGTCATATTTGCGTTCGCAAATTCATCTTATTGATCACTTCAAGAAGGCGCCTCACCGAAACTGAACTCTGTAGCAACAATGTGGCTGCTGCCATTATTGCTAGTGGATCTAAGGTTTCTGGTTAACGTGCTGCAGCAGAAGATGCTCCTGCCCAGCCTCAACCCAAGTCATCTTCGACACCCTCTTCAACAATCGTTTGTTATCACTCGGAGTCCCCTCTGCCCAGCCTCAACCCAATAAACTTATATACAATTTTTTTATTTGTTGTGAATTATGATAAACTTTCAATTAACGGAGATTTATTATACCTCACACAAGTGTGATTTGAGGAGGTTAAGAGTGATTTATTTAAGATTTAAATGAGAATTAAAATTTCTAAGATTCCATATTTAATTCACTTGTTGTGAATTAGAATAAATTTCCAACTAGTAGAGGTTTATTTTAGCTCATACAAAGTTGTGCAACATGCTACTTTTTGGATTAGGAAGAAGATCCATTAAAAAAATTGCCATTGATTATACTATTGATGGCCTTAAATTCCTTAATGTTATGTCATCATGTATAGTTAAAAATCCATCTTGTACACTATATGTAAAAAACTAATTAAAGTTTAGTCCAACAAAAAATCAAATGTCTAATGTATGTATTAAATAAAATTAAAATTAATTATCATGTATTCATTGGTCTTAAGAGAAGGTCATTAGCAAATACAATTTGAACAAAAAACTTCTTAACCTATACAAGGAGAATAGATATTAGTGGTAGTTGTTCATTAAGTTTAAAATATAGCTAGGTACAAATATTTTTTGGCACACTTACCTATCTTGATAGCTAATGGATGATGAATAAAATCCAAATAAAGATAATAAATATCAAAATCATATACCACACATGGTGAATTATAGTATTTAAAAAAATTAAAATTATCTTTCAATATATATAATCAAATCTAAAATAATATTAAAACTAAGATTTATATGCTATTATTTATAAATAAAGATTGTCATACATAAAAAATTGAATGTCAAAAAGTATCATTAAGTATGCAATCAAAAATGAAATATGTATGCATGACTAATATATTTTTAAGAAAAGACAAAGCATCTAAACACTACAAGTTAAATTCCCTCTCATGCCACAAAAAAAGAATCCAAAATATAAGCATGTAGAAAAGACCTTAAGCTTTATTCAATGGCTTAATCACTATATCTAAGAAAAAAATTGTAAAGAATTCTGTCTTTGAAAAACATTTAAAAGACTTGACTTCATAAAAAATATTAAGTCAAAAGAACTTTACCACCTAATATCTTTAAATCCTAAATGACACTAACAAGGCTAATTAATATAAAATACTAAATAAATAAAAATTCCATAAACTAAAGTAGATTACATAAACTAATGTAGTTTATTAGCTATATCCATCTAATATGGTTTAGCACCCAAGACCATGCTACATGATAACTATTGTATAAATAAAGATTTTCATATACAATAGTTTGAGTGCCAAAAACCATTAAAAAATATATTTTTAATAATAAAATAGGAATACATAATAAACACACTTTCTAAAACCTCTATTTTTAATTGATTACAAGCTCTACTAACCAATTAAGACTACAACTCATGTAGTGAGGAATGAATGCCACAGTGATGTCATTGTAACAACTATAGTCATCTAAACCAATGTCTTGATATCTAGACAACCAAGAGCTGTAAAAAACCTAAAAGATGTCGTTAATTCTTGTTAATAGATAATACATGGCTACAAGACTTTCTACAATGAGGATAAATCTAATCTCTTAAAAGAAGAATCAAAAGAAGTGGTGTCAAGCATATCATATGCCATCCACATTGATATTAATCACACATTAGCATGGTAGTAGCCTCTTTCTTCTCACCACTCACAAAATAAAGGAGGTCATATAGCACAACTACTAGTTCAAGATGTACATAATTATCAATATAAAGATGACATAGAATAAAATTCTTTGAATGCACTCAATACTTTCATCCATCTTTGCTTTCAAGTAATTATATATCATTAAATAATATATTTTTTATATAAAGAATTGTGTGCCTTGTCTTAATATTAAGTATTGCAAGCATCTTTTGTTGCAAATATACATAATCTCCATTAAAAAATCTCCACAATTAAGATTAATAAGTTCTACCAATGCGTGCATATCTAAAAGTATCACAATGTTGAATAATAGTCTCTGCAAATGAGATTGATAAGTTCCTCTACGGATGTAAGCATATCCAAAAGTATCATAATATTTAGTAATAGATAAGTTCTTCATAGCCATGAACATTATTCTTTTAAAAAACTCTCCAAATGCTAAGGTTATGAGTCAATAAATTGACTCATGTGTTGTAATAGAACTAAAACAATCAAATTAGAATGCCAATCAAATTAGAATGCCAATTGCAATGGTTAGTAGAAGAGGAGTGGAAAAAATGCTAAACAAAAGCAAAATAGAGTTAGTAGAGTAATTATAGCCACTATAGAAAATCTAGTAAACATCTTAGAGGGTATCCAATTGGCATATTTTTTGTATTTTAGAAGCATCTAGAAAGAATATAAAATATCCCAAATTATAATATTAGTTGGTTGTATATGGTATAAATATGGCCATGATATGTAGTAGATTCAGTAGTAGA